GCCTAGTTATGGCGCACATGAGGTGGCCACCCCTTTCCCTGTCACTACCCCTGTTTGCCCAGTCCTGAATGCTGATGGATCCCTATTCTCCCCCCCCATCAGTCCTACAGATCTCATCACCCTCATCCTCTCTCTGCAGCTCCCTGCACCTCCAGTCCGTTTCTCCCGTCAAAGATTTCTGGTTTCCAAACGTATAAGTCTCTGTCCTTCTGTCTTGTTACTTTCCAGCACTCACATGGTTAATCTTCATGCCTGCAGCTTCTCTCCCTTTTCTGCACTGTCTCACATCCCCCCCCTTTCCTCCCCGCTTGCCTCCAAATGGGGGAGTGACATGCCTTCTGCATTTCGGAGCTGCTGATAAGAGTTAGAGACGGGATTTTTGCTGGAAAATATTCTAATTCAAAGGTTATGGTGTTATAATTGTGTAATAATATTATTATTGTTGCCGTTTGCCGTTTATATCTATATATAAATTGTGTTTTGTGATAAGGCAGTGAAGATTGTGGGGGGGGGCTCGCTCACAAGAATGCATTCCACCTTTCTGAGTATTCTCTCCAAGACTGGTGTATAAGACAGGGAGTCAGGGATGTAGCTCAGTGTTGATTTACGGAGGTTAAGTAAGTGAATCTGATACAAGAATAGAGGAATATTTGGAGGTGTTAAGTGTAAAGGCAAGCGTGATTTGTTGCAAAACTATGCAATGTGGATAGAGGGAATATGCGAAGTTAAGCTAGTATGTAAAGAGGAAAGTGATTAATGGTTGGAGGAAGATAAGGGAATTTGGTTGAATTCTGTGAGTTTATCTTGCATCATTTTAAAGAACATGTTTCTAGAGACAGCTATATGGGCTGTTAAATGCATAATGTTTTCAACTGTCTTATTTAACCTGCCAGGTCTGTTCATAGTTTAGTATTTCATTTTGCAGAACGGAATGTTGCTTCTCTGACTTATTTTATTAGTTATAATATAGTGTATTGTTGAAAGTGCATCAGCCACCACCCTAAAGATGGCGCCTAGTACAGAAGGAGGTTGGCTCTGCCAGTCCCGTGACCTATCTACAGTCACGGTTGCTTCTAAAGTGACGTCACTTCCGCCCTTACCATGCCCACACCTCCTGTCTTCCTTTCCCACACATATCATGGACGTCACCTCACTTCCTCCCTTGCTGTCATTTCCTTCCCCGCCCCTGTCATGGCTGCCTCCATCATGAGGCCTACCCCTATCATGCTCGTCCTATTTAGAGACATGTTGTTTTCCTTACACTCTACATATTATGAACAGAAACATTATAATTACTAAAACAATCATGCCATTTGTTTCCCTGTATCAGAAATGTGTCCGTGATAATAATACATAAAAAAAAAAAAAAAGAAGGTTGCTAAAATGTCATTTGCAACTGTGGTGTGACCTACAAATGAGATCTGTTGGATACGAATATAAGAGCATAACAGCTGATTATCCAGATTAATCTTGCAACAAGGGAAATAGCCAAATAATGCAAGTTATTTTAAACATTGTATCTTTGCTTAATCGAATCTTGCTAGTTACAGATCGTATGTTTACAGTAACATCCTTTACGTTAAATGATGGTTTAGCATTAGAAGGATTAGTGACATGTTTTATTAACCCAGCCACTTCTGGTTATTAATTTTAGTTACAGGGTGGTATAATTGTTATAGTCTAATTAATATAACTGATAGTACCGCAATAGTTAATGTTTTACCCAAAGACATATAGGAACTTTACTTCACTTACTATTAACCATTATTTATAATGATATAACCTACTGATGCTTAATGCCCCTGTTATGGCAGTGTCTTCAGGGGAACAAGGGCGGCCACTAGCCACTGTAACTTTACCTATTGAAGGTCACCCTACTACTTTCCTGGTTAACACAGGTGCAGCCCGCAGTGTTCTTAGAGAACAAGACCTGCCTGACTCATCTTTCCTGCCTGACACCGATGTCTCTTGTGTTGGTGCTGATGTCCTATCCCGCCTCCAAGCATCCATCTGTTCTCTCAAACGTGCTATTGCTTCTGCTCCTGCTCTTGGCCTACCAGACTATACCAAACCCTTCAAATTGTTTGTTTCTGAAAGACAAGGCCATGCAACAGGAGTACCCACTCAGGCCCTTGGTCCTGGAGGCCGCCAAAGGCCTATTGGATTTTTCTCCTGCCAACTGGATATTGTGGCCAGAGGACGTCCCACTTGCCTTCGGGCCGTCTTTGCTGCCAAAGAGCTCATTGAAAGAACTGGAGATCTTGTCCTTGGCCACCCCCTGGTTGTCTTGGCCCCTCGTGACATTTCTGCCATAGTCAACCAGGTCCAACTTAAGCATGTTACTCCTGCTAGGCATCTTCGCCTTCAATGTCATCTTTTGTTGCCTGACAACATTACCCTCCAAAGATGTCAAGTTCTCAATCCGTCCACTCTTCTGCCACTCCCTGAGGGGGGTGTATACTACGGATTCATCATGGACGAAACTTATGTTTTTCTTCTCACTGGCACCATCAAGAAGGAAATGCATCCCAACCTATCCTTTCATGATGGACAAGCACTCCTTCATGACGGAGCAGGATATGCCTTCTGTACCATGTGGTACAAACCAAACATCACTCCTGAACCCTGCTATGAAGATGAACTCTATCATCTGGTCGAAGTAAAACTCACTGCACAAGACCTCTACTGTGATTCTGAAGGCAACAGTATGGTCTTGATTCATCTACCTCCGGAACTCAAGCATTTGTACCGTCATTGGGACACTGCCATTCCACATGTCCCTGTGACCAAGTTGAAAACAATATCATGGAATGATCTTGGGCCTATGGCAAAAGCATGGGCCACTATGGACGAATCACAGCTACAGGAAAATGGTGTTGTCAAATATCCAACAACTGACCACCTAAAAGCATGGCCACGTCATTTCCTGGAAAATGAGTTCCAAGATTTAACCATAGTGAATGACTACGACCCAAATACACCTCATGACTGTTTTGAACAGATGAAAATGGAAACAACACATCTACCAACTGTGCATGAAGACCCATTGGTAGATCCCGATCTCACCCTGTTTGTGGACTGCTCAAGATATGCTGATGAAGAAGGAAGATACCATACAGGATATGCCGTAACCACAACAGATGAAATTGTCAAATCATCATCTTTACCATCAACTATGTCTGCACAAGAAGCTGAATTGCAAGCCCTGACTTCAGCATGCAAGATCTCTGAAGGAAAGCGTGACAATATCTACACGGATTCAAGATATGCACTGGGCGTGGCTCACGACTTCGGATTAATTTGGAAAACAAGAGGATTTCTTACTACCGCCGGTACAGAAATCAAGCACAGTTCCGCAATCAAGGAGCTGATGGACGCCCTCCTACTCCCAGAAGAAGTGGCTATTTTGAAGATAAAAGCACATGGGAAGTTGGACTCAGATGAAGCAAAGGGCAACCATCTAGCTGATCAGGCTGCAAAACAAGCTGCAAGAGAACCACAGGAAGTGGAAAGAAGAGTGTCCGGAAATGAAGAAACTCCCATATTTACTCTGCAGACTCTTCCAACTGACCTGAAAATCCTGCGGGAACAACAGGCTACAGTTGCCCCTGAAGAAATACAGAAGTGGAAACAGAAAGGGGCAGTTCTAAGAGATGGAGTGTATTACAACAACCTCAATTTCTGCCTCCCTAAGAATTTGTACCCAGCAGTCGTACAATGGGCACACGGACCTGCACATTTATCAAAGGATCTAATGAATGCTCTTGTACAAAAATACTACCTCACTGTCCCCATATGAGATTCTATTTGGGACTGCACCTAGGCTAGGTTGCTATTTTCCCCAACAACTACAACTTCAAACTGATGTTTTAGTAGATTATGTAACTGAACCCGCAAATGCTTTAAACAAAATCCATGCCCAAGTTTTCTCTTCAATTCCAGATCCTGATTCTGATACGGGCAACCACAGTCTGCCCTCTGGTGACTGGGTTCTGGTCAAGAAATTTGTGCGAAAACACACCCTGGAACCAAGATTTGACAGACCGTTCCAAGTTCTCCTGATTTCCCCTACCTCTGTCAAATTGGCCGGAAGGCCTAACTGGATCCACGCTTCCCATTGCAAGAAGACACCTGCCCCAGAGGAAGCTAACTCTCTGCAACCATGTGCCTCTGGTACATTATCTCCTTAGTTGGCCTCCTTAAAGCCCAGCAGGTGGCCATCACCAAAGATGCTAGTGGGTACACTTTCTGGTATAATTCATCATGTACCCACGTGGCTACATTCACCTTTGATTACTGTGATATTGTAGAATGCCCATTCCCTAAGTCACAGATTCAAGCCATTTATAAAGATATACCACAAGCAAAAGACCCTTACGTTTGTGTAGTAGATGAACAATGGGGTTATGACTGTAACTACTGGGGGGCTGCGGGATGGAATACTGGGCCTGCCTGGGGTTATAAACCCAAAAGTGCTTTATCTAAGATAGACAATCAGGGTAGATCCCTCCTTCAAAGAATGACTTTAAGAAAGCCTGGAGGAAGTACCCCTATGAAATTAATGTTAAATATTGAACATCCTGGCCCCGAGGATGCAGACCGATATGTAATGGGAATGTATTGGAAGAAAGGTTCCTACAACAAATTAGGTCATTTCTACCTCAGAGATATGTACCACTCTCCAGAGTGGCAAGGGGCTGATCATATGGTCCCAAATCCGCTAAAACCACATATCCAGTCCTTTAAAGATATGATGGCCATCGCTAACCCCACTTTTGAAGATACCATGGCCGCTGAAACTGGATTCAATGACATTAATTTGTGGTTAGAATGGATGAGGTATAATGCCAACAAACATAATAAAACAGCATGTTATGTATGTGGCGGTGCCCGACCCCACCTTGGCACCGTCCCCCTAACTCTCCCTTTAGAGATAGAAGATTGCTTCTTAAGCCTTTTTGCCTACCAATATGACTTTGATAGGTCCCTCTGCATGGCATGGACGGCAGAATACCCTCTCTTAGTTGAAAATGTTAAGCCACCAGATGGAATCCCAGTCTATAGAGGTAATTACACTTGTTATGCCATGTATGACGGGATTGGTAAATTCATGGGTAATTTTTCTAAAGGTTATTGCGCCACTTACAGAACTGTTCATATACGCCTGTTGCAACACCATACCAGGTCATTGGGGGATATTTACTGGTTATGTGGGGATCTACAGTTAAGATCTAGGCTGGAAACTGAGTGGTGGGGTGAGTGTACCCTAGCCAAAGTTATCATGCCCATTCATATTATTTCTGATAATCATCATGACACATACGACCCTCCACATACACCAGCCAGAGTGAGGCGCGAAACCCCAGTAAAAGGCAGTTTTGACCCCATCATTTACATAGATGCCATTGGGGTACCTAGGGGGGTGCCTAATGAATTTAAAGCTAGAGATGAAGTAACTGTAGGTTTTGAATCACTTTTTACCATAGTCACTGCCAACAAAAACCTTAATTGGATTAACTACATTTATTACAACCAACAGCGTTTTGTCAACTACACCAGGGATGCCCTCCAGGGCCTGGCCGAGCAGTTGCAGGCCACATCCCAGATGACCTTCCAGAACAGAATGGCCTTAGACATGATTCTAGCTGAAAAGGGGGGTGTATGTAAAATACTACCTGACACCATGACTTGTTGCACTTATATCCCAGAAAACACAGGTCCAAATGGTAAAGTCACTCTGGCCATAGCTAAATTAAATAGACTCTCAGAAGAGTTAAAGAGAAACTCTGGAGTTACTGATCCCTGGGAAAAATGGTTTGGTTGGATGACTGGTTGGCAGAGAGCTTTAGTCCAGATTGGTATTGCCTTACTAATTTTTCTTTTTATTCTCGCTCTTCTCATTTGTTGTGTCCTCCCATGCCTAAGGAAATTCCTGCAGAAAACTGTAGACCAAGCAACACCAACCTTCACTCATCTGACAATCGATGATCAAGATCTCACCTCACCCTGTATTCCGCTACAAACTCTCCCTTATACTGATGAAGTGCAGAAAGTGTAGGAAGGGACAGTACAGGGACAGCGTCCGTCTTTATGGGTAGACTGCCGTACGGAGAAGTAGTGGATAAGCCACTATGGGTTACCAGCGGAGTGAAGAGTGTTCCTGAACCGTACTGACGGATGTGCTGCAGCCTGTTAGGGTCAAGAGAGGGATAGACTTGCACTTTGCATTAACACTAAGTCAGCGGTCATGGAGTTTCTGTGTCTTTGGACTAACACATCTTCTGATACTAACAAATAAAGTTTATCTTTTAGTAACTAACATTTTAAGGGGGGACTGTTGTAGAATTATAGAATTCTTGAACTTATCTAAGCTAATGCTTTGTCAGGAAGAAATGTGCTGAATAATAAAATGTGTATTTACTAAAAGAACCTTGAAGCTAACAATACTAACTACTCAAAATGGCTGCCAAAGCACCCCTCCCATCGAGTGAACACCTCGTGCTAACAAGATGGCGCCTACATCTTGTGTCCACTCCCGTGTCAAGGATGACATCACCTCTTGATAGGAGGGTACCTAACTAACCACTTAACACCTGGACCAATCAATAGTGTCTATTTGCAGTTATCTTGAATTCTTCAGTGATGTAATAATGCCTTTAAAAGGGTCTGCGCACCCATTTTCTGTCAGAAGCCATTAAACTTCTCCGAAGTTCTTTCATTAACCTGAACTTTGTGTCTCAGTGTGAATTTACTTCTGCGTGCACGCAACTTTATTATCTTTAATTTGGACAGGAACAGATAGTCATTCAAACTAATTGGTTTGCAGTAAATTATCTACAACACCTCTGCCAGACATCCCTCTTTCCATCTCCTCCCTCACCCCTTCCTTTTGGACACCAATGCATGAACAATGCCCTCAAAAAGAGGGCATGTCCAGGGGAATTCTAACATTTAGTAACCCTACACTATACTGTTAGTGATACAGCTTCGTATTCCTAACACTAACTATAGTTTTCCTTTCATCCCTTTCTAAGCCTAAATCCAATAAATTTAAACACCCCTTATACCAAAATTAAGAGCCCTCTCAATCTTTTTGTTGTGGCCAGCATATTAACTTCATATTAACTATTAATGTTAGTAAAATGCCTATTTACTCAGCTTAATTATAATCAGCAGTATTCAAAAATTACACAAAATGGCTTCTAGGCAGTTACCTTTGTCACCAAATAACACCTCAATTAACAAGATGGAGCTGGAATCTGGAGGAGAGCTCCATGATGCCAGTGACATCACACACAGTAGGATGAGCAATGAATGAACCACTTAACACCTAACCAATTGTTGATGTATTATTCTCTGTTATCTCTAATTATGCATTTGATGTATTTCTGCTTTATAAGGGGCATGTCGGCCACCCGAATTTGGACAGAGGCAGATACACAAAGCTTATCAAACAGTTGATTTGATCCAAGGCACATTTAACCCCTTAAGACCGGAGGGTGTACTATTACGTCCTCTAATAGGCGGCTCTAAACGCCGCCGGGCGTAATAGTACGCCCTCCGGTCTTTCTGTACTTACCCGGTCGCCGGCGGTCCCACGCCGGCGATCGCGGTGGGGGGGACTCCCGCGGCACGACCGTCCTCCAGGAAGCCCCCCGGCCGTGTGAGAGTGGGGTCCTAGCGAGGACCCCACAATCACATGGCCGGGGATAGCTGGCTTCTCTATTGCCAGCAGGGGGGCTGCCTGTAATGACAGGTGGTCCCCCTGCTGGCTGAAAATAAAAATGAAATAAATAAATAGTGTAAAAAAATAAATAATATATACTTAGATCATATATATATATTATATATATATGATCAAAGTATATATATACACATATACATACACACATGTACACCGTCTAGGTGTATTTTACTATTAATATATATATAATTATATATATATATTAATATCAATTTACACGTACACTGATACTGATTAAATATATATATAATTATTGTTATATATATATTTATATATATTATAAAAAAAATTAAAATGTAAATACGTTAAAAATAAAATTACAAAAATAATTAAAAATAAATAATTAAAAAATATATAGATGTGTGTTATTTCGTTCTAACTGTATTGTGAAATTAATATATATATATATATATCAAAATACACATAGAACGAAATAATATATATATTTATACACATAAATATATACGTATATATATACCTATATATATAAATAAAAATATTTTAAAAAAATTATATAGATATATACATATATATACACATACGTATATATATACATATATTGATTCTACATATATATTTATGTAATATTTTTACATAATTAGGTATCTTAATTAATTACAATTAGCAGGACCTGCATGACAACCCATGCCGAAAGTAAAGGGAATTTAATTTGCTAGCACTATATTTTACCCTATAACTTTCCGAGACACCATAAAACCTGTACATGGGGGGTACTGTTCTACTCGGGAGACTTCGCTGAACACAAATATTAGTGTTTCAAAACAGTAAAATGTATTACAACGATGATATCGCCAGTAAAAGTGATTTTTTTTTTTTTTGCATTTTTCACGCACAAACGGCATTACACGGAAAATATTATTGCTGTGATACTTTTTGCTGTTTTTGAAACACAAATATTGTGTTCATCCAGTAGTACCCTCGTGCTAGCACTAAGTACAGCGTCAAATGAGGCTTTAGCGTTTCATTTTCACATTAAAATTTGCCAGATTGGTTAGGTTGCCTTTGAGACCCTATGGTAGCCCAAGAATGGAAATTACCCCTATGATGGCATACCATTTGCAAAAGAAGACAACCCAAGGTATTGCAAAACGGGGTATGTCCAGTCTTTTTTAGTAGCCACTTAGTCACAAACACTGGCCAAAATTGGCGTTTTTTGAATTTTTCACACACACAAACAAATACTAACGCTAACTTTGGCCAGTGTTTGTGACCAAATGGCTACTAAAAAAGACTGGACATACCCCATTTGCAATACCTTGGGTTATCTACTATTGCAAATGTGTTGTGCCATTATGGTGTAAATTTCATTCGAACTGCTATACAAAGGCAACGTGAAAACAATTGGCAATTTCAATTTCAAATGTAGATTATATATATTTGACCTGTAACTTCCAAAGCATACATAAAACCTGTACATAGGGGGTACTGTTTTGCGTGAACTTTACTGGGCTACAAATATGTGTATTTTATTGCAGTAAAAGCAAATGAAAATTATTATGACACTGACGTTTAATTGTCATATAGAACAAAAAATCAATAAATCTCGTATTTTCTTCCATTTTCATATTAAATTATGTTTCATAGCTAAATATTTGATATTAAATGGAAGCCCTGTTTCCCCTGAATAAAATGATATATAATAAGGGTGGGTGCATTTACTATGAAAGAAGTGTATTACGGTTGGACAGACATGTAGCGCAAATGCCAGGTTTTGTTTACATTTTGTTTTGTTCACAACGTGTACATTTGGCTCCGTCCTTAAGGGGTTAATCTCCCAACTTCTAACATTATGTTTACATGCATTTGTAATACAAAATCTACAATTTTCTCTTTAGCTATTCATTTCCATTACCTATACTATTATATTTATATTTTGCCAGTTTCCTATACCACCAGCTGCAGCCCTGCTGTACTGATGTAAATGTAATGTTTTCTTTCGGGAATCGAGCACCAGGTGAAAAAAAGATTCGATTATTGGAACGGCTAGAGAGATCGTGTATCCTTCACGCATGCGCGCTCACTATGTTCGCGGTGTCTCTCGATCGCACATGCGCAGTCATACACAGCGGCATGCGCATTGTTAGTGGGTCGGCACTGGGAAGCTGGGAAGGAAGATATTTGCTCGGAGCGTATTAAAGGTCCACATGCGGCAGCACAGCCGCGCAGTGAGTATCATAGTGCATGTAGAAATAACATAAAATGGCGCTGTTATGCAATTCTATTCCTGCCAGAAAATAACAACAAACTCGCAGTTAGACACACGTCATGGAACACAGCTCGCATTTCTCCCCATTTAACACTTACTAGCGATTATTTGGTGGTTAGTCACCGACAATATTAGATTTATTCACTAAACTCCGAATAGCAGCGGATTCAAATGCGAGTGGTTAGATTAAGGATCAAATGCTGATCAGCAAAAAGTCTCTAGTTTAGCTGTGTCGCTGCTTGGCTGTTTTAACATTTTTAATTTTTTTTTGGATTTTTATTTCATACAATTTTGAGTGAATAATAGACAGTGGGGCTTATTTACTAAACTCTGAAATAAAGCAAATGGAAACATTTAGTCTAAGACAGCAAAGTTTTAACTATAGCTGCAATGAAGAATGTCTTCAAATCCACTATTTTACCCTTAATGTTGTCATTCAGATGCAGTTTTTGACAACATGCAGTTTAGTGGAGGTTTGCTTCCTCAGTCTCTTGTCAGGGTGGTCCCATCATTTAGGGTGAAGCCCCTGTGTTCGGAAGCCACGGAGTGCCCAGTGTCTTTGTTGATTGCCATTGCTGAGTTGCCTATTGTGAACTTTGGGCCGAGAGCCCTAAGTTCAGCTCAGATTCCTCTCCCACCCCCCCCTTATCTATCGCCTGTCCCGCCTTCCTCGTTTGCCCCCGGTGGTGTACCAGAGGTTTTGCATCATGTTTAATTTGTCATGTAATAAGAGCCCTACAGGTAGCGTCCTGTGTTGTTACCTCTTAGCCCGCCTTTCCCCCTTGGTCACGTGCGCATGGGGTGTGGGAATGTTCCATGTGTGTTTGAGTTTTTATGTAGGTGTCCCACATGATTCCCGCTCTCTATATATGTTTTTTGGGGCTAATATGCTTAAGGGCCATTGACTCGTAGTCTAGGTTCAGGGTTATCTGCGCTGTAAGGGCAGTACGACCCAGTATTTCTGTAGATTTCCATGCTCTGGCTATCAGCAAATTTGCAGCCATGAGGACGTGGAAAAGTAGGGTAGAGGCCGGTTTAGAGATGTTTTCCAGCGGCATGAATAGGAGGCATCAGGTGTGAGTGTGATGTCCATCCCCAATGCGTCTGATAATACGTCTCCCACCATACGCCAATATCCCTCGATCTTGGGACAAGTCCACCAAATGTGGTACATCGTCCCCGTTTCCTGTAAACACCTCCAGCAGGAGCTGGTAGTGTTCGGGTAGATTCGCGCCAGTCTGTCCAGTACCATATACCAGCGATACTGGATTTTTCTCATCAGTTCTAGGTGTGACGCACAGCTTGTCTTTCCCTTGTGAGCTAACATTGCTTTTTTCCAGCTTGTGATGTCAAATGTTTGGTTTAAGTCGTTGTGCCAGTCGAGCATACATTTTTCGTAGCTGCGTGCTGCCGGGACTGTCAGTACTCGGTATATAGAGGCTAGTAACTTGTTTGGCATGATAGGGGCTAGGAATGCTTTATCAAAAAAGGCCATGGTCGGCGAGTGTGAAAATGGGGGGTTGTGTGTGAGGAGCACTTTTAGTTGGAAGTATGAGAACAATGCCCTCGTCGGTAGTTTGAATTTATGTTGGAGGTCTGGGAATGGCAGTATTCTATTGTCTCCAAACAGTTGGCCTATGGATCGTGTATTCTTTTTAAAGGGACACTTTAACACCAGAACCAAGCACATAGACTGTCCCTGCAGTCTTAGCAGTGAAAATACTTTTTCTTAAAAAAAAGTCATTGATTACGTTGGGATCTGTAATATTGGGAATTCATGTTTGTATTTCTAGCATTATAGTGTTCCTTTAAATTTCCTATTAAGAAAAGGTAGTTCGTAGTTATACTGCTTGTAGACTTTATGCCAACACACAGGTATTCTGGTTGTAATTTTGTTAAGCTGTCATTTACTAGCTCAATGTTTACATGGTATTGTTTATTCCTCTAAAGAGCACTAGCCATTGGCAAGTAAAAATTTAGCCCTGGCGAGTAGAAAATCAACTCCTAGCTGGTATGCTATTGCGTACAGTGGCGAATGACTTTTGAGGCCAGTTTCATAGCACAGGGCTACACATTTCAAGCCATAGTGAGACTGTTGGGCTATTTACTAAATCAGGAATTTAGGGCTGTTCTTCCCAGCTGGTGACAGTTGGTCCTACTTGCATGACAGGTACACTTTAATAAGGAACATGTTGGCGAACATTAATGATGAATTGGTGATGGTTGTAGGTAGAGGTGGAATTTGCAACATAATGGCAAGGACCACTATAATGCCCGGAAAACAAACTTGTTTTCCTGGCACTATAGTGCCCTGAGGGTGCCCCCACCCTCATGACCCCCCTCCTGCTGGGCTGAAGTTGGAGGAAGGGGGTTAAAGGAACACTATAGTTACATAAATTACTTTAGCTAAATAACGCGGTTTTAGTGTATAGATCATTCCCCTGCAATTTCACTGCTCAATTCACTGTCATTTAGGAGTTAAATCACTTTGTTTCTGTTTATGCAGCCCTAGCCACACCTCCCCTGGCTATGATTGACAGAGCCTGCATGAAAAAAACTGGTTTCACTTTCAAACAGATGTAATTTACCTTAAATAATTGTATCTCAATCTCTAAATTGAACTTTAATCACATACAGTAGGCTCTTGCAGGGTCTAGCAAGCTATTAACATAGCAGGGGATAAGAAAATCTTAATTAAACAGAACTTGCAATAAAGAAAGCCCAAATAGGGCTCTCTTTACAGGAAGTGTTTATGGAAGGCTGTGCAAGTCACATGCAGGGAGGTGTGACTAGGGTTCATAAACAAAGGGATTTAACTCCTAAATGGCAGAGGATTGAGCAGTGAGGCTGCAGGGGCATGTTCTATACACCAAAACTGCTTCATTAAGCTAAAGTTGTTCAGGTGACTATAGTGTCCCTTTAAACACTCACCTTTCTCCAGCGCCGGGGACTCTCCTCCTCCTTTGGACATCATCGGCTGAATGTGCATGCGCGGCAAGAGCCACGCGCACATTCAGTCAGTCCATAGGAAAGTATTCTCAATGCTTTCCTATGGACGCTGGCGTCTTCTCACTGTGAAAATCAGAGTGAGAAGCGCGGAAGCGCCTCTAGCGGCTGTCAATGAGACCGCCACTAGAGGCTGGATTAACCCATATGTAAACATAGCAGTTTCTCTGAAACTGCTATGTTTACAGCAGGCAGGGTTAAACCTAGATGAACCTGGCACCCAGACCACTTCATTAAATTGAAGTGGTCTGGGTGCCTATAGTGGTCTTTTAATCACTAAAGTATGAATTGTTAATAATTGTAGATTATGCTAACTTTAGTGTACCTATAATCTTAATTTTATTAATGACAGGAGGCTTCGTATTTGTTTAAGTCTCTCTTTATTAGAACTCCACAGCAGCACAGAAAAACAACCAATCAGAAAAAAGTTAGGTACTATAAAACTCCCCTCCCCATACATAATTTCTTCTTTCAAGCTGCGACAAAACAGAACAAAAGGCAAAAAATATAATGGGGAAAAAAAAGTCCTAGATACAATGAATACAACAATGTCCACCATCCGAACTGCCAAACTAGATAGCGTTGATAGACTGTAAACTGAAACGAGAAAAAACAGAATCGAGTAGGTTGGTTAGCCAATGAAATGTACTCTGAACAAACATGTAGGTACCCAATGTAGCAATCAAAATTACCTTAATACGTAGATATCCCTACCCTACTTATGGAAAATAGACATAAGAACAAGTGGCACGTAGCAGAGACAACAAGCAGAGTTGCATACGTACCTGATGAACCCAAACTATTAAAATTAAACGAGAGGGATAAGAATGGGCGGGAAATACTCACCTCCTGTCATTAATAAAATTAATATTATAGGTACACTAAAGCTAGCATAATCTACAATTTTATAACATGACAGGAGGCTTCGTATTTGCTGTTTTAACGATCAGCCAACAAATCCAACGCTGTTTGTTTCGCTGGTACCTATTCCGGGATATACTAGAGCAATCCTAAATGGACCTTCCAACAGTGAGAAGTGACATTAGACGGATCGATGAAGATGCCAGCTGTCGAGGCACCCCAAAAAATACGGAAAAGCACTCTACACTGGTAGATCCATTGTACGTGGGGTTGCGACCTGTTTCCTAGCAACCGATCCATGAGCTGCCAAGCTGACCTATTAACCATTTTCCTGTAGGTGTAAAATGCCGAAGGTCATTTGCGGACTTAGGGCCGCGAGAAGAAACTGGCACCAGGTCTCGACTCTTGATGTGGAAGATGGCTCCTCCGGTCGTGCCAGGGTCACTAAGTGATGTGGTCCTGCAGGCAAATCTCCAACCTCAAGTAATGCGCCGAGGTCTACCACCAATTCCGTAACAGAACTGAGTAGGGTCATTTCATTCCCTCACGACCTAACCAGTGAGTTGTTTCATCTGAGAATGAATTTATTATGCAGGCTAGGGTGCGGTCAAACTAGCCGTATCCTAAGTGATCCCAGTAATCCAAATGGTCTGTGTAAGGAAGGAACTCCCAAATGACGTCCAATCAGGGTCCCAAGCCGAACTTGTGTAGTGAAACGGTGGTCAACTATCCTGGGGATTGTGAATCCCGGGAATATCCAAATGGAGAGAAACGTAACCAGGGGTTGAGGTTTCCATCCAGATATATCGTCGAAGAACGATAAGATGTCCGGATCCAATGTTAATTGGGACCTGTATAACAAAGAAGAGTCCTCCCATGCTGTAGTGGGAGAGTGAAAGAATCAGATTACTCGTTTGTACGATTCTGTTCCATGCCTGACCTGTCAAGATTTGTGCAGGAGCTCCTGGTCTGCATGCCACCTACAAGATAGACCCTAGGTCCCTGTACTTCTGACTGTCTGGGCACGTCTCTCCAATGTAGTCCCTAGGTCAGGGGACCCAGGAATGTGAATTCGAGAACCGAAGTCAAGGCATCCCTATAGAGGAATACCTCCTCCTTAGCCTGGAGTCCCGCGAACTCATAGCGTTCTCTACTGCAGGCAAGGCCTAAAGTCTTTTCACTCACGACAGGTGACTCCAGAGAGCAGATATAACAAAAACACGAATCTAGCTCCAAACGTCCGAAGCAGGTGTTATCCAGTTTGGGAACGTCGTCAGCCATATCCGAGCCTGCTACACAGCCTGAGCAGTACTCCAGCGTTAGGATGCGTCCCAACTAGTGATGTCCGTGAAGGAGCCAGGGACACACAGGGTTCCTCCATAGAGTCCAAGCAGGTCTCCATGATGGTAGTTGAATAGGTGGGTTAGCGAGAACCCAAAACCAAGACTGTGGTTATGGTGTATGCAGGGTACAGGCTCCCACTGGAAGCAAGTGTATGAAATATGGTGTAGTACACAGTGTGGGACACCTTCAACTGTCCACCAATGGATAACCACATGCAGTAAACCAATAAACATAGAGTTAATCTGAAGGCAGGAACAATATATGCACAGCATTTGTCCTTAAAATTATGGATTCTCTACTTTATACCATCATTTTCCCATACCAGGTATCAAATCCAAGTCACCTGGGTAAACATAGACTATGCAAACATCTGCATATGTCCTAGGTATAAATTCACAAGATGTATACCCTGAACCCCATGCTTGCTGCAGGGGAAAGGGACTGCACCAGCCTGTCCAAGAAAGCTAGCAAGACTGCATGGGAAAGAACTCACACGAGTCTTGTTTACAATTAGCCCATATTTCTTTATAGCACAAGAAATATTGCTGTGCTATGCACTTTCTCCTTCTTAGATATGGGCATGAGGCCGTGGGCTGCATTAATTTACGGCTCCCTGGAGAGGAAAGCCTGCCTCTAACGGCTTCCCGGCGTACATCTGACAGGGATAGGCACATAAAGGATATTTAAGGGGACAGAAAGGGGGAAGAATCCCCAGAGGAGGTGTATAGAAAGACCAGAGGAATACAAAACTCCCCACAAACCCCAGAGCAATAGGCAGAGGGGTATAAAGCTAATCACACAAACAAGTCCCCAAATGATAAATATATAAAACACTGAAAATATAATTAAAATCATACAGCCACCAACTAATAGCAGGAGGCAGTGGTACTCTGACCTGTACTGATGCGGAGCAGCAAAGAAAGAGGAAATTATGTATGGGGAGGGGAGTTTTATAGTACCTAACTTTTTTCTGATTGGTTGTTTTTCTGTGCTGCTGTGAAGTTCTAGTAAAGAGAGACTTAAGCAAATACGAAGCCTCCTGTTATGTTATAAAATTCCCAGATTTTACTAATAACCTGACGTAAAGTCATGATTTTATTAATGACACGGAGGCGAGTATTATGCTATCTCTTTCTTACTTTATTCCTCAGCAGCAAAGAGAAATATAAAACTGAAAGAGAAAAAATTTAGATATGAAATATAATAACAGGTACAACCAGATCTGCCTAGTAACAGGGCAGCCAATCAGCTTAGTAGGAACAGCCCATAAATGTCTCGCTTAGTAGTTCCACTTCCTCTTCTTTGCCTTCTGAACCGAAGACCCAAACCAAACTTCCACATCAGGAAAGAACAATCTCCAACAAGGTAGACGTCATCTTAAAGGACCACTATAGTGCCAGGAAAACATCCTCGTTTTCCTGGCACTATAGTGCCCTGAGGGTGCCCCCACCCTCAGGGTCCCCCTCCCGCCCGGCTCTGGAAGGGGGAAAGGGGTAAAAACTTACCTTTTTCCAGCGCCATGAGAGCCCTCCTCCCCTCTCCGCCTCGTTATGCGCTGAATGCGCACGCCGCGTTGCCGCAGATTCAGCCGTCTCATAGGAAAGCATTTACAATGCTTTCCTATGGACGCTGGCGTGCTCTCACTGTGATTTTCACAGTGAGAAGCACGCAAGCGCCTCTAGTGGCTGTCAATGAGACAGCCACTAGAGGATTAGGGGGAAGGCTTAACCCATTCATAATTCTATAATTATGAAACAATGGGTTGAGCCTAGCTGGACCTGGCACCCAGACCACTTCATTAAGCTGAAGTGGTCTGGGTGCCTAGAGTGGTCCTTTAACGAAATCAAGCTGTAAAACAGAAAAAGTAGGTAAAATCCAAACTCCGGACCTGCATGTAACATTTTATGACCATCTGGCCTGCAGGACTAAAAACGTCAAAATCGTAACCACATAAGTACATAGATCCAAATACGTCAAGTCAGAGAAAAAAACTGTGAACACTTACCTTGAGGTAAAAGAACCCCCCCCCCCCCAGATTGAACCATAAGTATAGATCCAAACCATACCCACTGGGTGGGAGGGTGGGAATAATACCCGCCTTAGTGTCATTAATAAAATCATGACTTTACGTCATGTTATCAGTAAAATCTGGGAATTTTATTAATGACACGGAGGCTCCTATTATGCTAGTTTAAATCTGAGCCACAACTAACGAGGAAACATGGTCAATCGGCCGGAAATAAAAATCGCGGAACGTAGATTCTCTAGACCAATCCGCTGTCTTCAAGATATCATCCAGACGACATCCCATCGTGGAGGCCTTAGACGCCATGGCGCCTCTGACCGAATGAGCCGAAAATATTGAAGTATCGATTCCTGCAGCGGATAGAAGATTCTTAATCCAACAAGCTAACGTAGTTGAGACCGGGAGAAACGGTTTCTTAAAGGAAATAAACAATTGGGATAAATCCGATGACCTCAATAGGTGAGTGCGATCCAAGTACACCCGTAGGCAAGCTACCGGACACAGAGCAGGTCGGACCGAACACCTAGGGTATGTCACTGACTTAGAAGACGTCTTAGTCCTCCTAGAGATGTTAAACGACACTCCCTCGGGGGTGAAGGATAACGCGTTCCAGTCCAAAGCCCTGACATCTGAAACCCTTTTGCATGAAAGGAGACACAGGAGCATAACCAATTTCCAGGATAATTGCTTCAGTGACAGGTCCTCATTAAGAGGCCATGATTCCAAGAAGTCCAGCACCACGTTAACATCCCAAAACGATGAATATCTGGATTTCGGAGGCCTAGAGTAACGAATACCCTTCAACAAACGGCACACAAAAGCATGTTGTCCAATCGGTGATCCGTCAATACCTAGATGTCCGGCTGAGATGGCCGATCTATAAACCTTGATAGTGCGATAGGCCAAACCAGATTCAAAACGCGTAGTCAGAAAACTGAGTACCTCCTTCAGAGGGGCAGAAAGGGGATCCAGCAGTCTCCCCATGCACCAGCCAGACCACACACGCCATGCAGACTTGTAAGCTGTTCTGTTACCCGGTGCCCAGACATTCTCCAGGAGTCTTGTAGTAGCCTGCGGAACGTCCGAGACACACCAGGGTTCCTGGAAATCAACCAAGCCGTGAGCTGGAGCAGGTTCTGGTCCACTAATTCGTGCGAGTTCCCATCCGGATCCAGAAGCACCTCTGGTCGCATCCTGATCATTCGTAGGTACTCCGCCGCCATCTCCAAGAGACGGGGAAACCAAGGCTGAGTCTGCCATAGGGGAACTATCACCACCAACGTGCACTCTTGTCTGGACAAATATGCCAGCGTCCGAGAAATCAGGTTGAAAGGGGGGGAACGCAAAGTGACGACCCCGAGGCCATATCTGCAGGAACGCGTCCACCGCCATGGCTGATGGATCCGGTCTCCAACTGAAGTATTGGGGTAGTTGAGCGTTCATTCTGGATGCGAACAAGTCCAGTTGTAACGGGCCCCATAGTTGATCTATCAGATGCCAATCTCCTGAGTCTTTCAAGTATTGCGAATTCCAGTCCGCCCATTCGTTGTCCAAGCCCGGGATGTGTTCGGCCGTGACCGACACCGCGCTGTGGAGGCAGAACTGCCAGAAATCCTTCGCTAGATTCGCCAGTTGGTTTGACTTCGTGCCACCTAGGTGATTTATATATCTGACCGCAGACTCATTGTCCATGCGCAGAAGGACGCAGCAGTTTCCCAGGGTTGGAGACAGGCTGCGAATAGCGAACGATCCCGCCAGCAATTCCAGACAGTTGATGTGTAGCGTTGATTTGATTTCAGACCATCTGCCACCTGTGGAGACATCTCCACAGCGAGCGCCCCAGCCATGCAGGCTGGCATCTGATTCTATCACCATATCCGGGGCGGTGCCGAAGATTGCTCGACCATTCCATGCCTCCATATGATCCAACCACCAGCGAAGTTCCTCCTTGGAGTCTCTGTCTAGGCATAGTTCACTTTCGTATGAACTGCCCGAGCGAAGGTGGGATCCCTTCAGACGTTGTAGAGCCCGATAATGTAGGGGTCCCGGAAAAATCGCCTGAATGGAGGAGGCCAAAAGACCAATGACCCTCGCCAGTTGTCGTACGGAGAGACTGGTGGTCCGTAGAGTACGTCTTATTTCTTTCTTCATAGCCTTTAGCTTGGCCTCTGGAAGGAACAGAAACTGGGCGACCGAATCGACTTCGAAACCCAGAAATTCTATTTTCTGCGTTGGGGTCACCATGGACTTTTCCCAATTTATGAGAAAACCTAAGCTCTCCAGAAGATCCACCGTCCAACGCAGGTGCTGTAGAAGTTGGTCGGGGGACGCGGACATAATCAGTATGTCGTCTAGGTAGATAATCATGCGTACGCCCCGCGACCTGAGGAACGCCACCACCGGTTTCATCACCTTCGTGAAGCACCAAGGTGCTGAAGAGAGACCGAAGGGCAGACAGGTAAACCTCCACCGACGTCCTTGCCACGTAAAGTGCAATAAATCCCAGTGTACCTCTGCCATTGGTATAGTCAGGTATGCGTCCTTGAGGTCTAGTTTGACCATCCAATCCCCTTGCCGAAGCAGATCTCTGAGGCAATGTATGCCCTCCATCTTGAAGTGATGGTAACGAAGGAATCCGTTGAGTCGTTTGAGATTGATCACCGGCCGAACTCCTCCGCCTTTCTTGGCGACGAGGAACAGGTTGCTTAGAAATCCCGAATGATCGTACGGGACTTCTTGTATTGCCCGTTTGGCCAGAAGTTCCGAGATCTCCTTGGTAATCAGTCCGGACTGATCTTCCGGCAACCTCAGTTCCTGAGGTGAATCTACCTGGATGGGGGAGATAAAAGATCCAGGCGAAAACCTCTGATAGTAGTTAAAGGACCACTCTAGGCACCCAGACCACTTCAGCTTAATGAAGTGGTCTGGGTGCCAGGTCCTTCTAGGCTTAATCCATTTTTTCATAATTATAGCAGTTTCAGAGAAACTGCTATAATTATGAATGGGTTAAGCCTTCCCCCTAATCCTCTAGTGGCTGTCTCATTGGCAGCCACTAGAGGCGCTTGCGTGCTTCTCACTGTGATTTTCACAGTGAGAGCACGCAAGCGTCCATAGGAAAGCATTGTAAATGCTTTCCTATGCGACGGGCTGAATGCGCGCGCAGCTCTTGCCGCGCGTGCGCATTCAGCCCAGGAGGAGGAACGGAGGAGGAGAGAAGGAGGAGAGCTCCCCGCCCAGCGCTGGAAAAAGGTACGTTTTTACCCCTTTTCCCCTTCCAGAGCCGGGCGGGAGGGGGTCCCTGAGGGTGGGGGCACCCTCAGGGCACTATAGTGCCAGGAAAACGAGTATGTTTTCCTGGCACTATAGTGGTCCTTTAACACCCACACATCTGTGGTGATCATGCCCCACATGTCGAGAAACAAAGCTAACCTGCCTCCCTCACTCGCCCGGAGAGAAAAACCTTTTTGAGTACTCACCGTAAGGGCGTCTGTATGAGGGCTGACCACGTCCTCCCCGATTCTGCCATGTCCTCCCGCGGGAGGGAAAGAAGGGAGCGGGTTTGTAGTCCTGATAGGCCCAAGGGGCAGCAAAGGAACCTCTATGAGTCCGTGAGGGACCTCGATTTCCGCGGACAGCTCCTATACCTCCCGGCCCTGTTGAAAACCTTTAGGCCAAAAACTCGTTTAAAGTTGGATTGGGCGTTATCTATGGCGGTGAAGGTACGCACAAATGAGCCCAAGTCTTTAACAAAAGACTCACCAAAGAGCATGCCTTTAGCTGCAGCGCCCGGTTCCTTCATCGCAAGGTTAACCAGTTTAGGCTCTATTTTAAGCAAGATCGCCTTGCTGCGTTCGGCTGACATAGCCGTGTTAGCATTGCCGAGTAGGCAAATCAATCTCTGGACCTAACCTATTGCCATGTCGAAATCAAGGGGCGTATCCCCTGTTTTAGCCGTCTCCAATAGCTCATAAAGCTTAGCCACGGGACCTAGAGTGTCCAAAATCTTGTTCTGGCAATTATGGAGTGAAAACTCCAAACCCTTTCTGGGTTTCCAAACCGTTTTTGTCAGGAACTGTGAAATCTGAGGGTCAACCTCTGGCGTCTTACACGCCGCATCAGGCACTGAGGGCCTTGGGCATTCGGCCCGTAATTTACTGCGCCCCTCCTTGGATAAGGGGGTGCGCATACGAAGCGCTAGATAGCTAGCTATATGATCGGGCAGGTCCCATTCCGCCAAGCGAGGGTGACGGTCATCAGGATCGAACAGGAGGTAACCCTGCGGATCGCATATGCCTTGTTCCTCACTCAGAGGTAACACCGAAGCGTCAGACCCCGCCTCCGCGTCGGAGTCCCCTTCCTCATAAGAGGCGTAGTCAGGGGTGTCTGAACCTGTCTCCCCACTTGGATCGGAGTCTGACCCGTCATTGCCATGGGCACGCAACCTTTTCCACTTTCTGGACGATTTTGCCCAGCCAGGGGCTCTCTTGCGCGGTAACGCGCCATCTTGGACGGCCAGAGGCACGTCAGTCAGGGCAGGTACTACCTGTGTCATATCGGGGGAGACATGTTTAGTTTTGGCATATGCCTTGCGGCTGACCTGAGGTTGCAGCGCAGGCAGGGGGCTTGCCAACATAGGAGAAACCAGGGGCTGAGTCAGGGCCTGTTGAATAGTGTGAGACAGCGATGATGAGACTGTCCCCATGGCAGAGACCAGGGCCCTCTGCATAGTAGAATCAATAAGGGCCTGGAACTCCTGAGAGGGGGTGAGTCCCCCTTCACCTGAGATAGGGGCCTGAAAGGCTTCCATGGTGGGGTAACTGGGACAGCCAGAATCATCACCCTTAGCCTGCATGATAGACAGGAGGGCAAATAAGCTTGTGGGTAAAAAGGGGTATGTCCCTTTAAATATATGCACGTAAAAAATTTAAGCCACAAGAAATATTATGGGAGCCGGGCCACCAGTCTCAGAATATAACTGATATAACAGGATGATGGAACAAACCTAAACTACACTATAGGGGTTGAGTAACCCACAAAGCAAATACCTGTGGAGAAAACAAGGGGAAAGGGAGCCGACCGCCGGATCCGCCAGCAGCCACGTGCGTGAGTGAAGATGGCCGCCGCATGCAGAGCATGCCGCGGCCCCAAAGCTCCTCCCCCGCCTGACAAATACACCTTAAAGGCACACTATAAACTTTAGCTTAATGAAGCAGTTTTGGTGTATATATCATGCCCCTGAAGTTTTACTTCACTCTTCCATTTAGGAGTTAAATCACTTTTGTTTACACATATTCATCTTCATGTAAACTTCCCTGTGCAAATCCATCTTCTATTTATGGTTATCACTTTTTTTTAATTCTAGTTTAATGACAAATTAGCATGATCATATATTAAAGGAGCACTATAGGGTTAAAACCACCATCTAGCCCCCCTGGTCCCCTCATGCCTCCCTAAATATAGTAAATCTTACTTGTATTCAAGCCTGAAGCTGCTGGCTTTGTCACGGTTTCCTTTTGACCTGCCTGCTGACATCATCAGAAGTGGCGGCCTGATCCAATCACAATGCTACCCATATGATTGGCTGAGACTGACAAAGAGGCAGATCAGGGGCAGAGCCAGCATGATTCAAACACAGCCCTAGCCAATCAGCATCTCTTCATAGAGATTAAGTGAATCAATGAATTTCTATGAGGAAAGTTCAGTGTCTGCATGCAGAGGGTGGAGACAATGAATGTTTGGATGCATTTTAGGCAGTCATGACCCAGGATGGATCTCTAACAGCTATCTAAGGAGTGGCCAGTGAAGTTATCACTAGGCTGTAATGTAAACACTGCATTTTTTCTAAAAAGACAGTATTTACAGCAAAAAGCCTGAAGGTAATGATTCTACTCACCAAAACAAATTCAATAAGCTGTAGTTGTTCTGGTGACTATAGTGTCCCTTTAATGTTTTGCCTGAGACTATAAAAATGTAGAAACTGTTTTACTTTAACACAATATACATTAGTCATGTTTTTTTACATACATAATTTTACATTGAGATGAGAATCAATTGATTAAAATTTGTTTTGAAAACTTCTTATCTTGTAATGCTACGGGATGTGCTAGTTCAATCAACCAAACGCTACACTACACATGACCTTGATCTTAATACACAAAGACAGCCATCTCCTCTAGAATGGGTGACGAAGTATAATGAATTCAGTCTGTGCTATTCACAGCCTGGCACAATTGCACCATTGACAGCATTGTGCTCAAGACAAGATGATTTGTATTTGCTAGTGGGCCCACTTTAAATCACTCCAATTTGCCTCTAGAGACTTCTTTAAAGGGTATCTGTCACTTCACAGGTTTTTTAACATTGTTTATTTATCCCGTCTTTTTAACAAATCTGTGCTTATGTTGTCAGAGAAATAAATAAAAAGCTGCACTGACAGCTTTTTTCAGTCTTCACTTCCTTATCTTTCTTGAATGTTAAAGGAACACTCAATTGCATTTTCTCAACTATTTAGTAGATATAAACCCAAATGAAATATGCATGTACTTTTACAGCATGTTTTGTTTAGGGGCATATGAAGAAAAAAAAAAAACACACTTTCAAAGGCTGTCCACCTCTCTATGATGCCTGTAGTTTGCTGTTCTGTCCAATTCTTTTGACTGATATTTTGAGTGTACATTAGCTTGGCAGTTGAATCTGAACCTTGCTTAAAGGGACACGCAAAACACCAAAACAACTTTAGCTTAATAGAATGTTTTCGGTGTATAGCTTGCTGTCTTACTGCTCAATCCTCTACCATTTAGTAATTAACGTGAAAATGTCATGGCAGGGAAGTTTTGCATATTTCTACACAAGCTTGACCAATATAATTGAGTGTTTCTTCACTTCATACTATTAAAATCTCGTATTTTTTTCTATTACCCCTGTCTCCTGCTGAGAGCACCAGCCATGTTTCAGTGGGTGTTACATTTGCAAGGCATACCTCTCCTGCAAATTCCTGTTTGGGAAACACAGACTTGTTTCCCATAACAGGTTAAAAGTCCACCAACACTTTATTTTGGCTTTGTGGTATGCAAATAAAACGTATCTGTTCTTTCTCTCTCTCTCCATTAGCAGATTGCTTGCCCAAAGCTTCTTCCATGCTGCTTATACACAGAGCCTGTCCTTACTTCCCCTTGCAGTCATAGCTTTCTGTTAGGCTGAATGCAAACAGGGGAGAGACACCATTAGGTTGGTTTCCATGATGAGACCCGTCTTATTTCTGTGTCTGCACAGAGTGAATTTACTGGCAGGAGTGGGAGGGTTTATTTTAATTTTTTTGTTTATTGGTTTCCATCTCTTGCTCTGCTAATTCCCTGCTAGAGCCTGCAATAGTCTCCTGTCTGTGGCTAAAGTTCAATTAAAGGACCACTATAGTGCCAGGAAAACATACTATTTTTCCTGGCACTATAGTGCCCTGAGGGTGCCCCCCCCCCTCAGGGTCCCCCTCCCGCCCAGCTCTGGGGAGAGGAAGGGGTTAAACACTCACCTTTCTCCAGCGCTGGGCAGGGAGCTCTCCTCCTCGGATCCTCCGATTCTCCTCCCATTCGGCTGAATGTGCACGTGCGGCAAGAGCTGCGCGCGCATTCAGCCGGTCTCATTGGAAAGCATTCATAATGCTTTCCTATGGACGCTTGCGTGGTCTCACTGTGATTTTCACAGTGAGAATCACGCAAGCGCCTCTAGCGGCTGTCAATGACACAGCTACTAGAGGAATTGGAGGAAGGATTTAACCCATTTACAAACATAGCAGTTTATCTGAAACTGCTATGTTTATTTAAAAAAAAAAATGGGTTAACCCTAGCTGGACCTGACACCCAGACCACTTCATTAAGCTGAAGTGGTCTGGGTGCCTAGAGTGGTCCTTTAACAGATCAGGAGATACAAACTTCTAAAGTAAACCTGCTGTACTGTTAAAATTAAACTTTTTTTTTTTTTTTTTTATGGAGGCTGTGTGAGTTACGGCCAGAGAAGGTGTTACTAGGGCAACAAAACAAAGTGAATTTTAACAAAATGGCAGGGAAGTAAGCAGCGAGACTGCATGGGACATGTACAAACCTTCAGCTGGATGCAGCACAGTGGTTTGTACAGGCCTGTGGCTTAGGCCGAGGGAGGGAGGGTTTGTTTTCCTGGCAAGATCCCTTTAAGAGTGCAGTAGATTTCACAGTCTCAGGCAAGAAGACAGCTGCCATGCAGCCAAGGGCAAACAAACTAAAAATGTTGGCTAGCGATAATGGAACCACTCCAAAGAGGACTGGGACAACCCACACAGGTCCAAAGGAGGTACGGGGGTCCAGCCAATAAAATCAGAGCCCCAGGTCAGGAGATTGGCCACTTCAGGTGCATAGGGCCTCACAGTCAAAGATCTGGAGTTCCAATAATATATAGACAAAGTCCTACAGAGAGAGTCCAGCAATGTCAGAACGCAGGTTAATATCCGCTATAAACGTCATGGAATTGGTGAATTATATCGATCTAGTAGCTAAAGCTGCTAAAGCCAGGAGTTCTCACAAAGACACATCCATTCAGCATGACCGTTAGGCTCCGCACCCCGACTTACATGTTTTTAATGGCTTTATGTGAAATCTATCAACTGTACTATAAGCATACTGCACATGACACGTTATTTGAGAAACTCTCCTAGAATACATGTGTTTAATAATAATTACTCACCGATTGCCAACCCCAGCAGGAATTCTATGTGGGTCACGGCCCACTGTGCTTGCTCTCTAGCCGTCCTCCGCTACAGCAGATGCCTCACACATGGAGTCCTGCATGGCATTCCACACACTGTGCCCAATCCTCCGCAGAGCCTCCCAGGAGCAGCGTGCAGAACAGCAGGATGGGAGAGAGGTTAACATGGCATCCCATCCATAGAAGGGACATGGACGCCTACAAACCAGGGGGAGGCCATCTCTCTTTATATAGACGTTTAAACATCTCGCCAAGGGAGGGTTCCCACTCCTCTATTTAAATCCTGTCCACCCAAGGCTCAATGCTAAGATGTTTTGTAAAATCCCAAGAGGGAGGCTCTATTGTTAGTATGTGCTCTTTAAAGACTTTAAGCCTGCTTCCTAAACCTTAACCTCCGCTGTCTGATTTTGAGCTTGGCATGCTTGACTGTGCCTCTAGATTGTCCTAAGCCTGCTGCCTTGTTTTGACCTTTGCTTGCCAGACCCTTCCTCTAGATAGTCCTTTTCCATTTTGATGCTTTCTGAGTTTGAGACTCTCTCTTAAAGTGACCATTCCCTTGCTCTGTCACTCTCTCTACATACTGAGTCCATTCCCTCCAAACCGTTACATGATGTTATGTGGTTTTTCATTTTTTTTTTCTCTTTCTTTCCCAGATAGTAAAGTAGAAAAGGTATAGACCACTTGGTAAGTGCCCCATGTATATTAAGTAAAAGTAATTTTTCTTTATACACCCCATCATGTTGAGTATTAAGATGCTGTATGGAGGAAAACACATTTGTTCATTGAAAGGCATATTTTCAAATCATTAGCACTATCAAGGTTTTTTCATTTAAAAAACCAAAACAAAAAAAACCCGATGCTTAGCTAATCCACGTATGCTTTGCAATATCATTGATAGTTGATACGCTGAGCCAAAAAATGCCTAACAAATATGGACAAAGCTTGTATTGCTGATGAGGAAGATGAACATCTGGGGACCTCCAGTTTTGATGAAGCAGTGGAGGGCACCTATAGTTTAATACAGGGCTCGATAAATCCCAGGCGACGTGGCGCTTGGTATGTCAGCACTTTAAGGCGGCCACCTGCAGGAGCATTGTAAGCGGCGTGCAAGGGAGCAGTAATATACATGCAGCTCCTCTATGTTCCCTTGTGCACTGTTTAGTGATGTTGGAAGCTGGAATATGACATCACTCTGGCCCTGGCATCACTACAGAGAGTGCGAGGGAGCAGAGAGGAGCTGCAGGTTTATTACTGCTCTATCGCACGCAGGAAGATAGCAGTCCCAAAGGTAGGGAGGCTGGGTGGATTTCAATTAAAATAAAAATCTCAGTTTGTGTGTGAGAAAATATGTGTCTCTGTCTCTCGGTGTCTCTTTCAGGGTGTGTGTCTGTTTTAGGTACCTGACCCCGTCCAACTGCACGAGAAAGGTGTTTTTACTCACCTTTTATCCCACGCCGTGCCTGTTTAGCCATGACTAATCCTGTCTCTGTGGCTGAAATAATTAGTCTTAATGGTCGCAGCTAAGGGAGGATATTGCGCATGTGCAGGAAAACAATGTTCCAATCAGCATCTCCTCATAGAGATGCATTGAATCAATGCATCTCTATGAGGAACATTCAGTGTCTCCATACAGTGCTTGGAGACGCTGAACTTAGGTGCTGAAAAGGCAGTGTTTACATTGAAAGGTCTGCAGTTACAGGCTTTAGATACCATAACAACTGCATTAAGCTGCTCTTAAGAATTGCATTTTCCTTGTTAAAAATTAAACCTAAAATGAGTTATAAAAAAAACTGGCTCCTAACTTTTTCAGCTTTCTTTTAGATTCTAAACAGATTTGTCAGGCCCTGGTTTAATAGCACAGTAATCTCTGCAACAGTATGTAGTTGTTATGGTGACTGCCCCTTTAATTAGAGTTATGTTCATATTTTTTTTATTTGCTAATTGTAATATATTTTGGAGAAGCTGTTTTTTCCAGGATTAGCATGCCATTCTCTTTATATTTTAATATATACAGATAGAAATTTTATTTTGTGTTAGTTAAATGGTTACCCTTTTGCTACTATCTGTAATGGCAGACCGTTTTGCAACAGTTTTCTCTTACCTGGGTCTGGCCAAGATTCCTTTAATGGCAGTTGAACCGCATTTGGGATTTGCAGAGATGCAGAAGTCAGATGCCAATTCTGGCATACATTCATATGAGCTCAGCGCTCTCAGGCAATGAATGGAAATCTGTGCAGAGAATTTTCATTAGCCAGTCCGGATCTCTAGTTCCAGGCTAGCTAACAACGCTGCTGAAAGTGGAGTTATACCATTGCCAGCTATTATTTCATAGAGAACACTGCAAAACAGGCTGCTTGCACCATTACACTTAGAAACACTGAAGTGGCCATGTTGCGGTGAGTAAAACTTTAAAGGAACACTATACAGTCAAGAACACAAATATGTATTACTGACCCTATAGTGGAAAGTTATAGGGTCAAATTTAGCATGTTACATATTTCAGTTTTTTCACATTGAAATTCGCCAGATTGGTTACGTTGCCTTTGAGACAGTATGGTAGCCCAGGAATGAGAATAACTCCCATGCTGACAAACCATTTGCAATAGTAGACACCCCATTTGCAATACCTTGGGTTATGTTCAGTCTTTTTTAGTAGCAACTTAGTCACAAACACTGGCCAAAGTTAGCGTTAATATTTGCTTGTGTGTGAAAAATGAAAAAAACTAATTTAAACACCAATCTGGCGAATTTCAATGTGAAAAAACTGAAATGCAAGCCTTATATTTGACTCTGTAACTTTTGAAAATGCCATAAAACCTGTACATGAGGGGTACTGTTCTAATCGGGAGACTTCACTGAACACAAATATTAGTGTTTCAAAACTGTAAAACGTATCACAACAATTATAACCTCAATGTAAGTGCCGTTTGTGTGTGAAAAATGCAAAAAACTTCACTTTCGCTGATGATATCATTGTTGTAATACATTTTACTGTTTAAAAAACACTAGTTTTGTGTTCAGTGAAGTCTCCCGAGTAAAACAGTACCCCCATGAACAGGTTTTATGGTTTCTTTGGAAGTTACAGGGTTAAATATAGTGCTAGAAAATTAAATTCTCTGGACTTTAGGCCTGGGTTGTCAGGCAGGTCTCGCAAATTTTATTTAATAAGAAACAAATTAACTAGAAATATTACATAGATATATATATGTAGAATAAAATTATATATATAAAATATTGTGTATTAATATTGTTTTTGTATTTTATTGTACCCCAATGTACCAATGCAATGTTTTGTGGACGCAGGACATACTTGAAAACGAGAGAAATCTCAATGTATCTTTCCTGGTAAAATATTTTATAAATAAAATTATATATAGTGATATATACATATATATTTATGTATATAGATCTATTATTTCGTTCTAAGTTTATTTTGATATCAATCTATATATTAATATCAAAATATAGTTATAACTAAATTACACACATATATATTTTATTTTATTTTGTATTTTTTTTCATTTTTAGCATATTTTTTTTATATATATATATATATTAATATTAAAATACACTTAGACAGTGTGTGTGTGTGTGTGTGTGTGTATATGTTTAAAATGTAATTTTAAACTTTAACTTTATTCCAGGCACTCCCCCTGCTGGCACTACTATGGACGGCTATTCCGTCCATGTGATCATGAGGTCCCCACAAGGACCTCGCGATCATATGGCCCAGGAGGGCTGGATCAGATGCAGGGGGACTTGCAAATTCTGTTTAACTGAATTTCTTATCTCCTGCTCTGTTAAGGCTGCTCTTTCCCACACTTCACTAATCACTAATGATGCATTTACGGCAATGAGGAATGCAAAGGAGACCAATGTAAACCACCCACAGCTTTTCACGACTTCCAGTTAGTGGTGCCAATGTCTTGACTATGTGTCTAAAGTGGGCATACATCCTTGGTACCTTCTAAATGTACTGAAAGCAGGCATGGTATAAGTAGAGGTTGAAGACAGACACAAAGCCTTGTTACTCATATCTAAAGTTGCAACTGGCAAAACACTTCCTTATGTGAAAATTAGTCCTTTTTTAAACTGAAAATGTATGTAGACTTCTTGTAAGTAGTTGAGAAAGTGCTACTAATACAGTAACATTTAGACTTCCTGTTTAAAGTTCATGCCCCATCAGTGAATACTACTAGATTGTCAGGGCTCAGCTGCTTTCACATCCTTCCAAATATAAAATGCTTTATTTTCTGTCTACTCCAGCAACACCCAGTGGGGCTACTGGTTACTTGTTTTGCAGTTCTCAATAGACTGAAGTTTTGTATTTATGCCATCCTCTACAACCCTTTTTATACATTTCTTATGTGCTTATTACTTTGATTAACATAAATCATCTTCTGTTTCACTTCGGGCATGAATTTGAAGAGGTTAGGGATCTCCCTATAGAGTTTAGACAGCCATTACGCTCGCTGTTAGCTGGCACCTTCTGGCTACCTGTGCTTGAGTTAGTAGGTATTTTGCGGCACCCCTCTATATAGCTTAAAGGCGCTGGCGGGCGGCGCGCAGCAGGTTTAAACAAGGTGCTGTGGTGATGGCTGCAATGAGCGTCAGTAAAGAGTCCCGCGTCTTCACACATTGTTGGTCGGCAATACGATTGAGCAGTATATTATCACCTCTTGCGATAGTAAAACCAAAGAAAATGTGCCAAAGCGCGCCAGCTTCTCTTAACCCTGCCAGGTAACTTTTTCTTTTCTTTGGTTTTTACTATATATTGGGGCTGATGTGTACTGTAGTCATTGATGCCGGCCTAGTAGTGATGGGAGTGAGCGCAGGACTTCTCTTTTTGTATTTGTATTTACTTTGTATCACACAGCCTTGTTACAATGCTGCCGCCCATCCCATGTGTTCCCTATTAAGGGTTAATAAGTATATAGGGGTGTATATATGGAAATACCCCTCTCTGTCTCATAAGAGATATCTTTGCCAGAAGCTCAAGGAAGCAGGCTGAAGGGTCAGTGTAGGACCCGCTTTAGGGGGGTCTGCCTTGACGTTGGCAGGCGGACATTCCCTCCAATGGCCATTGGAGCAACTAAATGACCTTCATTTGTCTAAATATACATAGGGATTAAGGAGAGAGCGCAGGTAACTTTTTTTTTTCCTTTTCTTTGGTTTTTACTATATATTCAGGCTGATGTGTACTGTAGTCATTGCTGCCGGCCCAGTAGTGATGGGAGTGAGCGCAGGTCTTATCTTTTTGTATATGAATTTGGAAAGAGTCTAAAATGACTTTTCTATAAATTTTATAATTGCTTTTTTTTCTTAAAAAAAAATGACATACATGTTGTTAAACAGCTGGAGAAGCAGCTGTATTCTCAGAATTGCATTATGGTCCCCAGCGAACCCAAGGGATGTTTATTTTAGCATTTAGCTGTACAGGGATGCATGGGAAGTTTGCATATCCTGCTGCCATATGTGAATGCGACCAGAAATCAAGTGTAGAAGTATATGTTGTACAAAATTGGGTCTTTAATAGTTCTGAATATCCTTCCTTTGGCACATAATCTTAACTGCAAAACTTGATTAAGATCATATAGCGTATGTATTGAATTTAGAACAAAAATTACTAGATTTAGGACGGATATATTTTAAAGTCAACATTTTCATTTAACATCATTTCAAGAGTCATTATTTAAGATTAAAACTGATTTTAATTGAATTTTTTTTTTTATTAGAACTGACTATAATCAGTTCCAATAAAAAAAAAAAAATTAATTAAAATCAGTTGGTTTTATTTTCTTACGGTTATATTTTTAAATTGTGATAACACTGTAAATCTCTATGTTCATATTCTTAAAGTTGGTCTCTTATCACATAGATTGAATCTACAATAGTGTTTTTTAATATCAGAAATATTCATGTAACATTGGGCATTTTGGCCATGCTGAGCATCATCAGAGAGTTCCAGTAACCATTACTTACTTTCTACTTTTTATTTCAGACTCTACAGCTATTTTTTTTTTTAAATGATTATTTTTTATTCTTTATTTTTGTTGTGCATTATACATCATAGAAGCTTGATTAGACATTTCATAGACGTAAACATGACAAAGTATAAGGATGTAAGTGTAATAAGAAATGTCAGATACTGCACTTTTTATAGTTATTGAAAAAAGACATATTCTCGTGCAAGCAAGTAAACACAGATACAGTAGCGATGCCACAACAGCATGTACCAGCAACGAACAACCAACAGCTAGTTATTTGGGCGTGACATATGACATTGAACATTTTTAGATGATATAAGAACTAAGAACGAGTTAGGCTAACATGTCAAAGCGTCAGACAACATATGGTATTAAATTAACTGGTAGACATGCGACTTTCAGGAACTCCACTCCCAACTATGGCTAGTACTTTGTTAGGTTAACCCTATTCTGTGGATAAGAAGGTTAATCAGGCATGGTGGCTATAAGTAAAGATGTTTCATAGCAAACTCCAGTTATATGAGGAAGGAACCAGGAGGACATACCGTATATACTTGAGTATAAGTCGAGACCCCTACTTTTACCAAAAAAAACTGGGAAAACTTATTGACTCAAGTATAAGACTAGGGTGGGAAATGCAGCAGCTACTGGTAAATTTCTAAATAAAATTAGATCCCAGAAAAATTATATGAATTGAATATTTATTTACAGTGTGTGTATATAATGAATGCAGTGTGTGTGTGTATATAATGCAGAGTGTGTGTATGAATGCAGTGTGTGTGTGTGTGTGTATATATATAATGCAGTGTGTGTGTATATAATGCAGAGTGTGTTTGTGTATGTGATGCAGAGTGTGTAATCTTGGTGGGGGGACTGGGCATTTTTATTTATTTTTTTAATTATTATTTTAATATAAAAAAAAAGTTGTAAAGGTAAGTAACAGCTCGCTCCCAGCCCCCAACAGGACCGCCCAGCTTGTAATGAACCCGGCGGTCCTGCTCTGTATTATGGCAATGTAAGTTGCCATAATACAGACCTTGACTTGAATATAAGACGAGTGGGGAGTTTTCAGCACAAAAAATGTGTCAAAAAAACTTGTCTTATACTCGAGTATATACGGTAGCTCCTTGGTACCTTAACTAATTTTACAGGAGTAAGAGGTGATGAGCAGATAAAAATAATAATACCAATACAAACAATAAAACCAATAACAAAACATGCTCACTGCACATATTAAAATGTAGAATCTTGTAAATGCCAAAATGTCAGCCAGCCTTAGGCAAGTAGCGATAGAGAGCCGGTGTTTAGCCCTGTGTGATAAATGTAGCATCAGCCAACACCCATGCACGGGAATACTTGGTGACCGTTGTGAGGCATGATATCCCCCCCAACCCCAGGCTGTAGTGAGGGCTTGCATCAAAACACCAGACTTGGGGGCTCGTGGCAGAGTCCAAGTCCATCCCGCGTGGGACCTGACAGACGCTCCTGGTGTTCGGTCGCTGCCTGCGTAGTTGAGTCATCTGCCGCTGTGCTCGATGCTGCTGGAGTATATCCCCATCGGCACCAGGAATTCCACTGAGGCTTCCTTTGATATATTGTGGGTACAGGGATCAGCTGACTCCCTCACTCACATATAGACTGGTGGGCCGCAGGATTGCCCCAATTGGACGCTGACCAAGAGTAATGGGGTACAGGAGATCAGCAGGGTCTTCTAGAGTCAGAATTATTTGACAATCAAGCAGTTTAAGAGACTCTATTACCTGAAGTCTCCAGGAGCTCATGCAGTGTGTGACCACTCTCTGTGCTAAACAGGCCCCGCCCCCTTAAATTATTTATTTATTCGTTTAAGTGTTTCCATTTCGACCATTTATAACACACCCCTACACCAAATAAGTGAGTATAGCAAAGAATATTTAGTCTATATGATCTAACTTCCCAAGAGGCCTTCCCCAATAGCACCCCCTTAAACAGATCTATTTATACACAGATATGGGATACAGCTAGGCACTATAAAAAGAAAAAAATGGAACAGCACATAGTGATGTATTGTAATATAAAGTGAATCAAGTGACTAATGATTGCACTCACAAGATGTAAATTGAATCAGCGCCTTGAGGCCGTCAAAGGGCTATAGCAATCCACTCTCCTTCTGTGTGTGTATACACACACACCACTAGTGCCAGGCCCCCTCTGACCACTCTACAGCAATTTTATGTATTAAAGGACCACTATAGGCACCCAGACCACTTCAGCTTAATGAAGTGGTCTGGGTGCCAGGTCCAGCTAGGGTTAACCATTTTTTTCTATAAACATAGCAGTTTCAGAGAAACTGCTATGTTTATATTAGGGTTAATCCAGCCTCTAGTGGCTGTCTCATTGACAGCCGCTAGAGGCGCTTGCTTGCTTCTCACTGTGATTTTCACAGTGAGAAGACGCCAGCGTCCATAGGAAAGCATTGTGAGTGCTTTCCTATGAGACTGGCTGAATGCGCGCGCGACTCTTGCCGCGCATGCGCATTCAGCCAAGGAGGCGGAGAGGAAGAGGAGAGCTCTCCGCCCAGCGCTGGAGAAAGAGGTAAGTTTAACCCCTTCCTCACCCTAGAGCCCGGCGGAAGGGGGACCCTAAGGGTGGGGGCACCCTCAAGGCACTATAGTGCCAGGAAAACAAGTATGTTTTCCTGGCACTATAGTGGTCCTTAAATAATTGCCACTAAGGAGTTGAAAATTGTGATAAAAAAAAAAAAAAAAATGCCATCTTCACACTGAAACCTTGACAGGTGCCCAAGTGGTAATTGGCGATTATAGGGTTACTCTAAGCATCACAACCCCTGGCGCCTTTTGTGGGTAATTGTCCAGAGCTGCAGAAGCTGGATGGCGATCTAACTGGTCATTCACTGGCTGAGAACGTCGTTTAGTTGTAGTAGTTTAGTTAGGTTATTTGTATTTTTTACAAGCTTTGTATTTTCTCTGGTTTTGTATTCATGCACTATTAAAATTAAAAAATTAAATAACATTTTTTAAAAACCTGTATCTTTAACAACCACAGTAATAAATTATCAAGTACTGTGACCTTTTATTTTTTTTGAGTGTGATGATATTTCAGCTAACATTCTGCAACTATGTAAAATGCACATCTTCTTTTCTATTTCTAGGCAGCTATGGCTCATCAAGATGCAGAGCCTTGGTACGCAGCACGGATGTATGCCAGGTATTGGAAACATTATAGCCAAGCTATGCATTGGCTGTATAGGCACAAGAGGGCATACAGACTGGCTGTAGCTTCTCTGTGGTACCCAGTTGACACTTTTCAAACCAGTCGCTATGCAGATTGGGAAGGGGGGGAACAATCTCGAAGAAATGTCAACTCAAGGTCCCAAAATCAGGCCGTTCAACCCAGAAGGACACGTCCATGCTTAAAGGTGTCAGAGTCAAAAGAAAAGGTGTCTGACATGGAATGTGAACAAGAAGCATCTGATTCAGAAGAGGAGGGGATTGAATGCGACCTGAGCAATATGGAAATCACAGAAGAACTGCGGCAGTATTTTGCAGAGACAGAAAGACATAGAGAAGAACTAAGTAAGTGCTCATTCTTGGGTCTATTTTAAAATTATTTAAGAGATCAGATTTCCATCCCATGATGTCAAAGATTTGATTTATAAAATAGTTGAAGGCTGCAAATGCAATGCAAAGATAAGTTTTAGTTCCAAATGCATCATGTGTCGATGTAAGATCCCACACTGTTTTGTATGACTAGCTGCCAACATTTGAAAAAAAACTTTGCAGCACAGCTATCAATTACTACCTTGAAAATTTACCACATCCCACTGCCACAAAGCTCCGCCCACTATGTCCAACCCAGATAATTAATATCCGCCTACTTATCAGTGCAGATTACAAGGTCTACTCAATAATGAGAGAATTACAGGGAATTGAGATAGGAACTTCTGAATTCCCATCTCAATTCCCTGCAATTCTCTCATTATTGAGTAGACATTTATAACACAATGTTCCCACCAACAATACCATGTATCCTGGAATGCGATAGATACATTCGTAGCACTGCACATATATCAGGCAGGTACATTTTATCACTTTTAGGTGAGTTGGGTATCACTGGTGACACTGTCAGTACAAGCACAAATATAGAAAGACCTTATGCATATGCGCTTTAGGCAGAGAGTTGTCTATACCATAGAACATACATTAGCTCACAAAAATTATTATGTTGGGGAGTGAATATAGTAAAAAAAAAAAAAAAAAAGCTGAAAATAGGAAATGAAAGCTATAGAAGAAGAATTTACAGAATGGAATTAATGAGGGAAATGGGAGCAAAAAAAAAAAACAAAAACCAAAAAGTGGTTCTGGTGACTATACTGGCACTTTAATGTGATGTAAATTAGAGATTAGTGCCACTAATAATATATTAGATTGCCTACTCTCAACCAGAAGAGGACAAGAAGATGATGATGGGCTCTGGCTGCAGTCTGGCTCCACGGGTTTGGTGTTGAACAGGCTCTCTGGAGGCTGTTTGTAACTGTGCTCACAAAAATCAACACTTTAGGGAAACAGGAAGAAGCTCCATTTTTGGGGGCCCCCAGGGCCTGACCGTGAGTGCGCCCACAAGGCATAAGTTCACCTACGTGGACCATCCATGAGTTCGCTCACAGGGAATGGAGTGTATGTGTGTAGGGGATTTGTTATGTGTTATTATAGAGGATGTAATTTGTGTGTGTGTGCGCTCTTGGAATGTAGTGTATAGGGATATCGGTTTGTGGAAGAGATGTAGTGTGTGTATATTGGGTGCAGAGTGTATGTGCGTAAGGGATAGAAAGCAGTGTGTGTTTGTCTTTATTTTTATTATTAAATTTATTTAATATAATATATTTTTTAAAGTTTTGTGTCTTACATCCCCCTTTAGTGTATCTCTTAAAAGCCTCTTGTGTGTCTCCTATCCACCCTCTTTGTATGTCTCCTACGTCCTCCAAATCCCTTTATATGACTTACTCCCCCCAGCCCTTTTGTGTCTTTTACTCTTCCCAGCTCCTTTGTGTGGGTCTCTTTCACCCCCAGGTCCCTCTGTGTGTCTTTCACAAGCAACTCTGTGTGTCTCTCTCCCTTACCAACCCCACCCCCCACACACACACCCTTAGTGGTCCTCTGTCCTCTTCCCCCCCAACCCCCACTCTTAGTGGTCCTCTCCCCTCCCCACCTTGTCCTATAGTGTGTCCACCCCGCTTCCCTGTCCCTTAGTGGTCCTCTAACCCCTCCCCCCCTTATTTCAAATGTAAGGCAAAATAGTCAAACTGGAAACATTCTGTGAGTAAACTATTCAAGTTCAGCTACTCGGGCAAGTGAATAACCCTGCTATACTTTAATCACAAAACATAACCTCATACGGGCACACAGTGATGAGGCCCTTATCCACAGCCATTGACACCGCAAATGTTTCATGCTCAGTAGTTTTTGATTACTAATATTAACTCTTTTAATATTGCTTTTCTGGGTATAACAGTCCCTCTTGCTGGATATGTCTTAAACAGATGGTCTACAAAAGTGTGCTAGATTTTCCAGTGGAATTCACTGTAGACCATTTCATTCCCCCACACACTTACTGGTTGATTGATGGGGAGTGGAACTATACATATTATTGGAAGGAGGAAGATATCGGAGCAGTGGAAAGGGAAATAATGATGTGAACAAATGTAGAGAAGTAAGTGGGAGTTAGGAATATCAGTGAAAATCAAGTTGAAGAGGTTGTGCATGTTAAAGTTTCTGATAAATCTGAGCTTAACATCAAATGTACAGCTATGTATAATCCATATATCACAACAGAACAAAAGCCTGAAAAATTTACATCTTGCTGTTATCCTTTCCCCCTTGGACACTTGATTATCCCTCGCACTGCGGAGGTCAAGTGGCTGGTCCCTGAAATACCAATTATTATTTTTTTAGAGGGTTACTCGAACCATCGTGACCACTTCATGCCTAGTTGAACCCCCAGCACGCGTGAATTAGCCAGCCCAGAACTCTCAGCTGCCTTATGCCAATTCTGTGAATAAATTAAATATGTCAATTCTGTGGCTCTGAGACAATTATGTGCGTGCTATGAGAAGCATTTTATTGGACCATGGAGAGGGAGACTGTGGCATTAGATGGGGTGTAGAGAGTGGCGCTGGGAGCTTTGCCTGGTGCTGGATTTCCGGTAAGTTTAAGGATGGGGTTTTTTGTTTTTTTTTTAAAGGGGAAAACATTGTAATGTGCAACAGGGCATTAGTAATGAAAATAAAGGGTTAGAGTCACAATTTAATATTAGGGACACTATAGTCACCAAAACAACGACCGCTTAATGTAGTTGTTCTGGTGAGTATAATCATTATATGCAGGCATTTTCATGCAAACACTGCCTTTTTAAAGAAAAGGCAGTGTTTGCATTGCACCCTAGGGATACCTCCAGTGGCCACTCCTCAGATGGCCACTAAAGGTGCTTCCTGGGTCAGATTCAATGCATCTCTATGAGGAGGTACTAATTGGCTAAAAAATGTTTGGCCCGCGCCCGTGTTCGATTTCAGCCAATCCAATGCTTTCCATATGGGAAAGCATTGGATTGGCTAAAAGTTGTACATTTTGATTGTCACCAAGGGGGCAGTTCGGGGTGGCGGAGCCAGGTCCAGCAGACCTGCGCCATGCTGGAAATAAGGTGAGTTTCAACCCTTTCTAAGAGGGTGCCAACCTAAATGGTGGTTTTAACACTAGAAGGATAGGAATACGTTTGTATTCCTGACCCTATAGTCTTCCTTTAAATTGTATGTTTTATCAATGAAAACATATGTTAGAAAAACCAGAAGAACAAAAATGTAAATATTGTTTTTTGGGGGTGCATCTGTTATTTCTGATTGTACAATCTGTTTTAAAAGGCGCAATCGAAAAGGCTTATGTAAATTCAGTTTCACTCAGTATCTTGAGAGATATACGTATAACTTCTATTTAACTTACATCACTCTTGTATATCTGATATTAAAAAAATATGACCTCTAATCCCCACAGACTCAGAACATATGTTAATCTACCATAGATTAATTTTATAAGTTGCTTACGTGTACCTTTTTGGAACATACACAAACAAAAAAAGAAGACTGACCTCTGCCACATCTCATATAATAATATGTACTATAGGACAAAATAGAGATATTGCAGAACAACTCCAGCTACCACTCTCTCCAGCATTCTATACAACAGGGGTGCGGTCCGGTGGCGGTCTTAGACGGCCGCGGCACCTGACCCGACCCCTATTTAGCGATACCTATTGGGTGGTGCTAAATGCATGGGCAACCTGATGGGCAAATCACCGCGGAACCACAATGATGTTCTTGCGGAACACTAATTGGGAAACGCTGCTCTATAACATTACAGAGTTCCTTTTAAATGGACACTAGACACGTAAACCCGTCCATCTCATTGAAGTTTGTGTCAGGAGTCCCTTGATGCCATCCTTCCATTCAGTGCTAAACAAGAGCCCCATCAGCCTGTTCTGTTTGTGCTGCTTGAGCGAATGAGAAATGGGAGACGTGAATGGCTGTCAGTGTTAGCAGCCTATTGCTGGTATGAATTAGTATGGCTAGAAGGAAAAGTGTAATATTCTCCTTATCCATACCTTTTGCGGGGGGTACCTGCTGCAGGTGGCCATGGACCCACATTCAGTGTAAATGTCAAAGGGAATTGATGAACAGCGCCAGGGGGATCCAGACACTGTAACCAGATCAATTAGGTGAAATGGTTATAGCTCCTAGAGTGTTACTTTAACTATTAGATTTAGGGTACCATCCTCCTTGTGACAGTGTTAAAACAAAAATAAATAGGTTTAACTTTAAAAGATACAAAATAGTTCAGCTAAATTTAAGCTAATGGTTAAATTATCGAATTTGTGGTTTAAATCACCTTTTATTTTTTTAATTAAATATGCTTTTAAAATTCATGTATGTTCCCATTAAGAATTTCAAGCAAATACACCAATAAAAACAAACATAAAGTTACCTGTGCTCTGGCCTTAATCCCTATGTACATTTAAACAAAATGGAGGCTCTTTTAGTTTTATTTAAATATCCATTTGAATATAAGCTCACCTGCCATGTCAATTACACCGATAGCCTCGATTTCACCTTAGGAAATATGTAACTAAGTGATGCTCTTGCTTTTTGGAGACGTAAAGTGCAAGCTTAGATCAGGAATTTCTATCAGGGACTGTTTGGTATTGAGCTTGTGTTCCCTGTGTCGTGAGTGCTTCCTCCAAATCCTCATTACCATGCCTAGCTCAGCTTCCATTAAACATTGCAATCCCACACTTGAAGGTTTCCATAACAACAGAACTGAGTGCTTAGAAAGGCTCCATTGACCGTATTCAATAGAGGCTCTTCAAGAAGGAGAGGACTGGAAGCCCTAGAAAAACAAAAAGGAGAAAACACTTGGTAAAATGGAATTACAGCATTCTACATTTATATCAGTAATGGAAGTTTTAAGGACCCCCACCACACCCCACGTCAGTCACTCAATGGGAGGAAAAGTATATGTTTTAAATCCTGGTTCCTCATATAGTATGGCAATCATGGAAAATAATATATCTCAAATAACCTGCAAGCATGTGTGTAAATTGTAACAAACAGTGCAACTTCAACTGGTGGCTGGCAACATCGTAGCTATGGGTTAGTGTTTGGTTTATTTTAAACAAAATGTGCAGTGTGATTGGTACTCCTATGTGACTTGATTCCTATGCTAAATGATTCCACCTTGGTGCTATTTGAAGGCCGTTTAAGTCTTTTGCTGGCAGATTTCAAAATTGAGCAGGGGATTGGTCACTAGTACCATTCACAGAGCACTTTCGCAGTGCCCTGTGTATGGTCTGCCTGGAGACCATATCAGCCTTGGCACCTTCTTTAGGGTCATGGGACATGCACCTGTGACGGTCTGACCAGCTCCTAGCAGTGACCTGTGTAGGCTGCTATCTTCTTTGCCCACGTCAGCCCTTTAAGGTGGGAAGGGGACACTGGCAAGTATGCAATGTATACATAGCCTAGGCAAGAAGTTTAGATGGTTTTTGTGCATGGAGCTCTTAACATATGTGCTTTGTTCTGTACATGAGCTATCCAACTGTGCAAATGCATCCACTTAGGATTAAAGGGGCACTGTAATGGCCTAATCTGTATTTTTAATATTTTTTGTGTGTGTGTTTTTTTTTGAAGCACCTCTCCCAATTCCTCTACATTTGGTTGTCCCCCTAGTCATCCCCGTATGCCAAGTATTCCCTACTTTGTCCTATGTTTTAAAGAAAACTAAATCAGAAATAAAGAAAAGAACAGATTCTGAGAGAGGATAAGAAGAAGCGTTTGGGAAAAGGGAAGTTCAGTGTGGCAGTGCTGCTTTAAGGCTGGCAAAGCAGCGTGATTGTTGTTCTAGAATAAATTGAGGTATACTTGTTGACCAACGCTGTCTGGTTATTATGCAGATTATATTTCAGGCACATTTTTAAGGCAAACTGTATTTTTTTTTTTTTCCGTTTAATATTAATCTCAGAAGGAGAATGCCAGTGAGTGGCGTTTTCTTGTCGGATGGTGCATAGAGGTTCTATCTGAAATCATACTTATGGTCAGAAACTGGCATTGCTGACATCATGTCTTCATTGTTTCGCAATGTAGAGTTTATGACCATTGTATGTTCAATGACAATTTTGCAAGAATGCATGTTACTGGTAAACGGTAGGAAGTATTTGTCTTCAATATGTGTTCAGCAACATCTGCAGTAATAGCCCCCATATAAAAGCTTGTTGGGTTCTCTGGGGGCTAAAAGACCTTTTTGGAGGGTGCGCATTACAGTTTTCCAACTTGGAATTTTCCCAGCTGGTCATCATGCACCCATGTCCTATTTGGGACATTTTTGAAGCCGGCCAATGTAATTTACCCCAATCAAACCATATATTTTGAAAAGTAGACGTCTTAGGGTATTTGAAATGTGGGTATTTTAACACTTTCCATGCACTAATTATACCACCAGTCTTTGTCAAACTTTAGGGTAGTTGTTTTTTTGTGTTGTTTTTCTCTCATATTGTACTTTAGGCATGGATACTCCGTTCCTGTTATTTGTTCCTGACAAAGAACACCCCAATATGTGTTCAGCAACATCTCCTGAGTACAACAGTGCCCCCGATGTACAGGTTTTATGGGTTTTTGCAAACTTATAGGGGTTAAATGTAGGGCTTTCCCTTTTCCATGTTTGCACATTGAAATGTGCCAGATTGGTTTGCTGGGCCTATGTTGCCTTTGAGACCATATAGCAGCCCAGGAATGAAAATTAACCCCATCAGGGCATACTATTTGTAAAAGTAGACAACCCACAGTATTCAAAATGGGGTATGTCCAGTCTTTTTAGTAGCCACTTAGTCACAAATCCTGGCCAAAATTGGCATTTATATTACTTTTTTTGCATTTTTCACACATAAACTGCCATTTCACTTATGATAGTCTCAGTATGATACATTTAACTGCTCTAAAAGACTCGTATTTGTGGAGAGTAATGTCTCACGAGCACAACAGTACCCCGTAACCCTTTCCCGACCTCTGACGTGTACGTCTGATAAAAAACGTCAGTTAAAAATGACCCGGGTACACACCTGGACCGGCGATCCTGGTCCAGGGAGACTGCCCAAGATGCCAGCAGTCCCCCTCTGGCAGCTCTGGCCCTCCAGGGCCACGTGATCACCATGACCTCAATGCATCGTGCAATACCCATAAAGCAGCTGGATGTGATCACGATCACTTGCAGTGCTCAAATTAGCCGCGGACGTATGTCTGCGGTCCTTAACCCCTTAAAGGGACACTATAGACAGAGTAACAACTACAGCTTATTGTATTTGTTCTGGTGAGTAGAATCATTACCTTCAGGCTTTTTGCTGTACACACTGTCTTTTCAGAGAAAATGCAGTGTTTACATTACAGCCTAGTGATAACTTCACTGGCCAATCCTCAGATAGCTGTTAGAGATCCTTCCTGGGTCATGGCTGCCTAAAATGCATCCAAACATTCAGTATCTCCTCCCTCTGCATGCAGACACTGAACTTTCCTCATTGAGATTCATTGATTCAATTCATCTCTATGAGGAGATGCTGATTGGCCAAGGATGTGTTTGAATCATGCTGGCTCTGCCCCTGATCTGCCTCTTTGTCAGTCTCAGCCAATCCTATGGGGAAGCATTGTGATTGGATCAGGCTACCACTTCTGCTGAAACAGGGACAAAGCAAGCAGCTCCAGACTTGAATACAAGTAAGATTCTACTATATCTAGGGAGGCATGAGGGGACCAGGGTGGCTAGATGGTGGTTTTAACCCTACAGGGTCAGGAATACATGTTTGTGTTCCTGACCCTATGGTGCTCCTTTAAAACACAGTTTCAAATGAAGTATATACTTAGATATCATATATATATATATATATATATATATATATATATATATATATATATATATATATATATATATATATATATATATATATATATATATATCAAAATCTAAATAGGTTATGGTGGGGAAAAATTGTGATTCAAAACCCCTTCCACCTGAAGTATGTGGATAGTTAATACAATGCTAAACAAAAATCTGCACACCAGTCAAGCCATAAGACTTGCTTTTCCCACAGAAATCCCAAAACAGCAGTGATGTTACAACCGCAAAGGATTCTGGGTGGGCATATGCAAATTAGTTTAACAAAGAATCAAATTTTTGCCTCATTCCATTTTAAACATGGATTCCTTTGAATTTGTGTTTGCAGTATACAACTGCTTGGAACACAATTTAGGATAAGATGCAAAACCAGTGAACCACTCATGGACAGCTGTTTCGTTGTTAATGCAACTCTTCAGCATGAGGTTGGTTACTGGTTTGCTAATTGAGGCTTGGTAGTGCTTGGGAAGCAAAATCTAAATAGGTATGCTATCCTGCGGTTGTAACATCACTGCTGTTTTGGGATTTCTGTGGGAAAAGCAAGTCTTATGGCTTGACTGGTGTGCAGATTTTTGTTTAGCATTGTATTAACTATATATATATATATATATATATATATATATATATATATATATATATATATATATATATATATATATATATATATATATATTCCATCTCAAAATACACATAGAACGAAATAATATCTTTATGCATAAGTATATACGTGTATATCACTATCTATATATAAATAAAAATAATTGTAAAAAATGATATATATATATATATATATATATATATATAGTTTCCATTTTTATATGTAATTTTTACATAATTAGGTCATTTTATTAATTACAATTTGCGGCACCTGCCTGACAACCCAGGCCAAAAGTCCAGGGAATTTAATTTTCTAGCACTATGTTTAACCCTGTAACTTTCCAAGATGATATCGTCAGTGAAAGTGACGTTTATTTGCATTTTTCACACACAAACGGCACTTACATTGACGATATAATTGTTGTGATACGTTTTACTGTTTTGAAACACTAATATTTGTGTTCAGCGAAGTCTCTCGAGTATAGTACCCCATAGTACTCCTCATGTACAGGTTTTATGGTGTTTTCAAAAGTTACAGAGTCAAATATAAGGCTTGCGTTTCAATTTTTTCACATTGAAATTCGCTAGATTGGTTACGTTGCCTTTGAGACCGTATGGTAGCCCAGGAATGAAAATTACCCCCATGATGGCATACCATTTGCAATAGTAGACAACCCAAGGTATTGCAAATGGAGTATGTCCAGTCTTTTTTAGTAGCCACTTAGTCACAAACACTGGCCAAAATTGGTGTTTAACCCCTTAAGGACCGGACTGTTTTTGCGATGTTGTACATTTGTGACCAGGCATCTTTTTACACTTTTGTGGTGTTTGTGTTTAGCTGTAATTTTCCGCTCTCTCATTTACTGTTCCCATACAAATTATATATTGTTTTTTTTCATGACAAAAGGGGCTTTCTTTACATACCATTATTTATATAATCTCATGTAATTTAATTTTTTTTAAAAAAAGAAAAAATATGATGTTAATTTGAAAAAAATACATGTTTTTTTACTTTTACTTGAATAATCTTTTACTCATCTACAAAAGCGAATGAAAAAAACTGCTAAATAGATTCAAAATTTTGTCCTGAGTTTAAAAATACCCAGTGTTTACATGCTTTTTTGCAATTTTTTTTGCATGTTATAGGGCTATAAGTACAAGTAGGATATTGGTTTCAAAACAAACATTTTTAACATTTATCAATAGTGACATTGTAACACTATTATCTGTCATAAATCTCTGAATAACACCCCACATGTACATATTTTTTTTAAAGTAGACAACCCAGGGTATTCAATATGGGGTATGTCCAGACTTTTTTAGTAGCCACTTAGTCACAAACACTGGCCAAAGTTAGCGTTCATATAGGCTAGTAAGCCTTACTTCAGTAGTGGGGAAAGTGATGGAAATCATGTTAAAGGATAGGATTGTTGAACATCTAAAAACACATGGATTTCAAGATCAGAGACAACATGGGTTTACTTCAGGGAGATCATGCCAAACTAATCTTATTGATTTTTTTGATTGGGTAACTAAAATGATAGATCAGGGTGGTACAGTAGACATTGCTTACCTAGATTTCAGTAAGGCTTTTGACACTGTTGCACATAGAAGGCTTATCAGTAAACTGCAATCTTTAAGCTTGGATTCCAGTATTGTTGAATGGGTAAGGCAGTGGCTGAGTGACAGGCAACAGAGGGTTGTAGTTAATGGAATATATTCGAAGCTTGGACTTGTCGCCAGTAGGGTACCTCAGGAATCTGTACTTGGACCCATTCTCTTTAATATTTTTATTAGTGATATTGCAGAAGGTCTTGATGGTAAGGTATGTCTTTTTGCTGATGATACGAAGATATGTAACAGGGTTGATGTTCCAGGAGGGATAACCCAAATGGCAAATGATTTAGGGAAACTAGAAAAATGGTCAGAATTGTGGCAACTGACATTTAATGTGGATAAGTGCAAGATAATGCATCTTGGACATAAAAACCCAAGGGCAGAGTACAGAATATTTGATAGAGTCCTAACCTCAACATTGAGGAAAGGGATTTAGGGGTGATTATTTCTGATGACTTAAAGGTAGGCAGACAATGTAATAGAGCAGCAGGAAATGCTAGCAGAATGCTTGGTTGTATAGGGAGAGGTATTAGCAGTAGAAAGAGGGAAGTGCTCATGCCATTGTACAGAACACTGGTGAGACCTCACTTGGAGTATTGTACACAGTACTGGAGACCGTATCTTCAGAAGGATATTGATACCTTAGAGAGGGTTCAGAGAAGGGCTACTAAACTGGTTCATGGATTGCGGGATAATACTTACCAGGAAAGGTTAAAGGATCTTAACATGTATAGCTTGGAGGATAGACGAGACAGGGGGGATATGATAGAAACATTTAAATATATAAAGGGAATCAAAACCGTAAAGGAGGAGACTATATTTAAAAGAAGAAAAACTACCACAACAAGAGGACGTAGTCTTAAATTACAGGGACAAAGGTTTAAAAATATCAGGAAGTATTACTGAGAGGGTAGTGGATGCATGGAATATCCTTCCAGCTGAAGTGGTAGAGGTTAACACAGTAAAGGAGTTTAAGCATGCGTGGGATAGGCATAAGGCTATCCTAACTATAAGATAAGGATAGGGACTAATGAAAGTATTTAGAAAATTGGGCAGACTAGATGGGCCGAATGGTTCTTAACTGCCGTCACATTCTATATTTCTATGTTTCTATATTTGTTTGTGTGTGAAAAAAGTAAAAAACTAAATTGAACGCTAATTTTGGCCAGTGTTTCTGACTAAGTGGTTACTAAAAAGGACTGGACATACCCCATTTGCAATACCTTGGGTTGTCTTCTTTTGCAGACGCTCTCAAAGGCAACGTAACCAACCTGGCCATTTTCAATGTCAAAATATTTGACCCTGTAACTTTCAAAAAGGCTATAAAACCTGTACATGAGGGGTACTGTTATACTCAGGAGACTTTGCTGAACACAAATATTAGTGTTTCAAAACTGGAAAACGTATAACAACAATTATATCATCAGTAAAAGTGCTGTTTGTGTGTGAAAAATGCAAAAAAAAAAAGTAACTTTCACTGACAATATCATCGCTGTGATATGTTTTACTGTTTTGAATCACTAATATTTGTGTTCAGCGAAGTCTCCCGAGTAAAACAGTACCCACCATGTACAGGTTTTAGGGTGTCGTAGAACTTTACAGGGTAAAATACAGTGCTAGCAAATTAAATTCTCTGGAATTTCGGCCTGGGTTGGCAGACAGGTCCCTCAAATTGCAATCAATTAAATTACTTAATTATGTAAAAATATTACATAAATACGCATATTTATATATTTGAAGTCTACGTGTATATTTATATAATTATTTATGTAATTTTGTATATGGACATATGTATATTTCGTATTATTTTTATTTATTTATTTATATATACATAGATAAATATACAATTTCATTCTAAGTGTATTTTGATATAAATATATATTAATATCAAAATACAGTTAGAACAAAATTTCATATAGATATATAATTTTTTTATTATTTTTACATTTTTTTAATTTAAATTACTTATTTGTATTTTATAACATATATAGTTATATATATACACATACACGTGTGTAATTTAATTAGTGTATTTTTATATTAATATATGTACATATTAATATAAAAATACACTTAGTATGACATATATATATATATATAGATAGATATAATAAATGTCTATCATATTTATATACACATATCATTTTTTTTTTTTTAATTAACATTAACTTTTATTTTTTATTTTACACTAGCAGGGAGACTGCCTGTCAGCACAGACCGTCCCGCTGCAGGCAGACACATGGACACCTATTGTGACCATGTGATCACTCTGTTGAGTGATCACATGGCCACAGGGGTCCTAATCCGCCATCAGGAGACTGTCTGGGCTGCAGGCAGTCTCCCCACACCGGGAGCAACGCCGATCACCGGTGGCGAAACGACGGCGATCATGTAAGTACATAAGACCGTTAGGACGGTTCAGGACCGTCACTGGTCGGCAATGCAAAAATGCTGATGACTGTCCTGAACCGTCCTCGGTACTTAAGGGGTTAAATTCATTTTTTGCCTTTTTCACACACAAACAAATATTAACACTATATATAATATAGTATGAATAGAAGACTTGCTGGCACTCCTGGGTTTTCAGTAAGGAAATTTTATTGTCACAAGTCGACGTTTCAGTTCCCAATATGAACTTTTATCAGGCTGACTCCAACCTCTCCTTCACCCTTCATGTCTGATCAATCGCCAAATCCTGTCGCTTCCATCTCAAAAACATAGCGCGCCTCCGCCCCTATTTAACGCCTGATGCAGCTAAGGTGCTAAGTTAGATGTAGGGCTCAATTTAAAATTCTGGTACTTGCTTACAAGTCCCTACATAGTGTGTAATGCTGCTCCGACCTACCTATCCTCCCTAATACACAAGTATGTCCCGTGAGGCCCCTGCGCTCTGCCAAAGACTTACGTCTATCCTCTATCAGTACTCCCACCTCTGATGCTCGCCTCCAAGACTTCTCCAGGGCTGCACCTCTTCTGTGGAACTCCCTACCCTTCTCCGTAAGACTTTCACCCAGTCTCCACTCATTCAAAAAATCATTGAAAACTCACTTCTTCAAGAAAGCATATCAATTAAACTGTTAGCATTTTTTTATCCCCTGCCCCCCATGACTCTCCTCTCCTGCAACTGTCAAAAATTACCTAATAAACCCTCAGTGAATAATTTTCTAACAACCTACTTAGTACCCCTACTTTTACCCTTTGTGTTACTATACCCCACTCCCTCTAGAATGTAAGCTCATTGAGCGGGGCCCTCCACCTCTCTGTTCCTGTGCGTCCAGTTGTCTGGTTACAATTACATGTCTGTTAGTCCACCCATTGTACAGCGCTATGGAATGTGATGGCGCTATATAAATACAATAATAATAAAGATCACATTTTGATAATTTGTCTAAATGTATAGGTCTCCAATTTCCTCTGGAAAGGTCAGAATGTTAACTTGTTAATCTTTATCTTATATGCTGTTGTGAGCAATTCTGATAAAATATAAAATTGTTTCCCACACTCTATCTCAAGCGGATATGTATACTTTTACTTTGACCATTTAATTTTTTGTTGTAATGTTGACCCCAGAGGAGTTAGCTGTGTATCTTCATAAACGCTTAGTGTTTTGTTGTGGGAACGCCACCTACTCATTTTGCTATTTGTTGTTTTAGTTTTGTCTGCCCAGCAGGGTTTTGTCTCTGTTGCTTTTAGTTAACCACAAATCTGTCAGAAAGACATATATAGAGAATTGATAAGATTTGCAGATCTGTCTGCAGTTTGTGGGGAATAAAACAGATTTTAAAAATGTACCCTTAAGTTGCTTCTATGTGTATAATTTATTGCTCAACAGATGGTGTTGAGGACCCTGCTCAAACGAGCTTCCTCTCTATGAGCTGGGTAAAGTGACACAACAGGTAAGGGTAGAATGTGTTTCATGTACAGGAAAAGTAGGTTGTTTGAATAGCTTACAATGAAGGGTTAGGTTTTTTGGCTGACACCGTTGCACAACAGGGAGGCAAAGCTATTAACAGTTTAATTGCTATGCTTTCCTAAATAAGTGAGTTTTCAATGTTTTTTTTCTTTTTTTTTAAGATAGGGGCAAGAGCATAATGAAGCAGACCTTATAGAGTCATGAACGTCAGCGTCAGAGGTGCGAACATGAACAGAGGATAGACGCAGGTCTTCGGCAGAGCGTAGGGACCTAGATGGTTCATATCTGTGTACTAAGGAGGATATATAGGAGGCAGTGTTATGTTGAGCAGGGATTGATCTATATATTATTATTCCAGAGCTGATTATGATACAGATAATCGGTAGCCTTTTGAGCTGATTGCCCATAATCTATGCCATTATTCTGTACATGTAAAATTTTGAAAAAGCAGCACAATTTCCAAACAAACCTTTTCATTAACTGAACAATGAATATCGACTCTAACAATCGTCAGAACCCATAATCGGTCTATTCCGAATTGTAGAGATATTTTAAATTGAGCCCTATATCTTATGGGGAGCCAGTGTAGAGAGAGAGAAAGAGACACACACACACACACACTTTTATGGGGCGGGGGGGTTTCATTTGGGTCACTTGAGAACTGTGATAAGTGATGCTAATGCTGCCTGGGGAATAACCTTTTAGGTCTGCTAGTAAGGGCAGTATTTTTTTAAAGTAAACTGAAATTAAATATTGAAATTCCTATCGGACGGTAGCAAGGGTCTTCTAAAGGCCCCGTGCACAAAACCTTTTACATAAGTCTAAAACCAGACCACTTTATTAAAAGGAACACAATGGCATTAGCAATACAAAGTTGTATACTTTTTTTTTTTTTTTTCCACTTACCTCTTTCCAGCATGAGGTTCTCGGCACTGGATCGATCTCCTTCTTCCACAACGTGACATCGATAGGGGTAATCTGATGTGCATGCGCGGTGAGTGCTGCACATGCATTAGACCTTCCCCATAGGAAATCATTGAGTCAGTCCTTTCCTACGGGGATTTTAAAGATGCTGGACATCCTATTCGCAAAGTTAAGCTCAGGGAAGAGCCAGAAAGCTACTCTGGTAACTGACTGGAAGACAGCCAATATAGGTTGTACTAACCCTGCAATGTATACATTGCAGTTTCTCTGTTTTCATTTTTTACATTGCAAGATTAAGGGGACAAGAGTACTGCAGTCAGACCATTTCAATGCATGCAAACTATACATGCCTATAATGCCCTTTACAGTGAAGTGGTCTGGGTGAGTTTAAATATCTGTTGCATTCCTTAACAATGATAAATAACAGATGATGACCTATATTCATTGTTTTAATCACAGCTGCTTTGATTCTTGGCTCATGCATTTCTTTCACGCTCTCATCTCTCACGGGTGGATTCCCTGAATAGTTGCTTTATAATTTATTTATTTTTAGACTTAAGACTTAACAAAAACTTGATTGCTCCTCAGTTTTCAGTTCTGGATTCTTAAGTTTTTTAAATGCTTTCAGCCATGTTAATGCGTCAGAATTCATATTATCAAACACAAATATAATAACCTGCTGCATTAATTCACTAAACTATCCTAATGGAAAACTCCCCAATCTCCTTTCCAAATAGTGCCTGTTTGGTGGTCCTGGGACTGAGTGCTACCCAAGCGAAGTGTTACCGGACTGCCGCAACCCACTATCATGCACACAGTTCCATGCGATTCCTGGGTAGTTCCCGGTCAGGCACACTGTGACTGCAGGAGCCTCTCCCTTTTCTCTGATGTTTGATGGGTGGTCCCTTCGGCTCCACTAGTGCAGGGAAGGGGATATTTCAGTGATTATAGTTATTTTGTTGATGTCCTAGCTGGGGGTCCTGCACCAGTCCAGGTCCAGTACAATCTGTCACACACCTGACCACTTCTCCTGCTATGTCTTCTAAAACAAAAGTGCCCACTGACTAATACTGGAGTGTAGTTATCTGAGAAAACCAGTAGTGTTAACACCTTTGCTTTATCTGTGAAACAAACCAAGGTGTTTTATTATTGCGGTCCATACAGTAAGGTGCAGTCCAAATAGCATATAGCTTTTGTTTAAATTACTGACCTTAAAATGGCACTGTCACCTTCATGGACCTTTCCTAACTTTGCAAAGATAATATAATATGCCCACTAGTATTGTAGTGATTGACAGGAGAAGCTGAAAGTAATTATACTTAGCAGTAGCTCTACATTGTTGGCGCCGCCATCTTCTTACAATGGACATCTTCAGCTCCTGCAACTTCACCTGCCACGGGTTGCGTCCGTGTCGTATTCTTGCACATGAGATGCATGAGAATGTATCTCTCTCTCACACACACACACAAGCGTCACTTGCAACAGCTGTATGAATTGGCAAAACCTGATAGCAGATGCTCACCCCCATCAGACAAAGTCTTTGTTTAATTATATCTTTTGAATGCACTAGAATTTCAAGGACGCTCCTGCAAAGTTAGTCTAAGTATTTCAAAATGATTTTAAAAGTGACTGAATGTTGAAGGGGCAAAACTGCTATAGACCTTTTGAACAGCATTGGGTTCTGCTTACTAGAACACTCAGTGGGTTGCTAGGCAATGAATCTTTAGAAAAGAAAAGTGCTTAATTAAAGCATTTCATCATCTGATTCCCCAAGTTGTATGTTTTTTAACCATTTAATAGTGTTTAGTACTATGTACACTTACATAGCCGCCCCAAGAAAATATCCCCTGGCTGTACAGACTGTGTTGTGATAACATGTTTAAAGAATTAAAGCAAAATAGGTTTTATAACAAGAATTTGGTTTGTCTACATTTGGCTCATAGTTTGGCAAAGCCTCTTCATTTTTTCCACTTGATGCTTTTTTCTATTTTTTCCTTTTTGCAACCTGGCACCCTCTTTGGAAGAGATTTTGAAGATTCCCACCTCCCTCGTCCCCCTCATCATCATTTGTATGCTTAAATCGTGCATCTGCTGCCATTTACCAAGGAAATACTGACTCATGCCAGAATTCATTATGCACAGTTTTTCATCTGACACATGGCATAAATATCTGTTTGGATTCATTAAGGGACACTTGATGTGTTAAAGGTTCCTATCACTAAGAAAGCCAAAATGTTCATCTTCTGCTGCTGTACTACAACTCCCATGATTCTAGGCTGTAGATCTGTATATAGCTTATTGTTTCAAATCACCTTTTTACCATTTTTAGAGGGGGTGTTTATTAATCTCAGATTAGTACTTAGCACAGAGAAATGGATAAAGTACGATTGGTTTACAGATGTTGGCAAGATTATTCACCCTAACTACGGTATGAGTAATTAGATACAACTGGGGCCTTATAAGAGTGAGAATCTTAGTTTTTCTGACATTAAAATGGCACTTTCTTCAGCTCCTGCAACTTAATCTGCCACAGGTTGCGTCTGTGTCGTTTTCTTGCTCATGAGATGCATGAGAATGTATCTCTCACATAGACACACACAAGCGTCACTTTGGTGCAAGAAATATATCACAACATGCGAAATCCCTTTCACAAAGTTATGCATGCAGTGGTGTGGCGTATCATACATTTTGAATACATTGAGTTTACACCTTTGAATAGGGGTGGCCTGTCTTCCCCCATGCCGTTTCAGAACTTCAGCTCCTATGATGCTTTGTCAGGCTTGCTGCAGGCACTCTGAATATGTATGTACATGATCATTGTGCCCCAGTGTACTTTATTAATCCCTACATGCTGGACAATGTAATTGATAATTAACAAAAGTATGATGATTTGAGTGCGTTTAATTTTGTTTGTTTTTTAAACTTACATAAGCACTTTGCAAATTGCAACAACACTATGATTTTTCTTTTTATAGCTGAGTGGAAATAATAATCTCTCCATGTTGTTTCTACGCAGTCTGTTTGGATGAGGATGTTTCGATGGTGTGGCAATAGGAAATGGCTAACCACATTTAGCGTACCTCTCTTTGAAACATAGGAAACTTATCCAGCATGATCTTTGAGGAGCCTGGGAAAACCACTTGTGTTGCTTCATCGCAGTGGTGATAATCACTGGAAAACATTAAAGGACCTTCTAGACACAGACATAACTGTTTTTCCACAAGATGACAACATTTTAATTGTAGATGTTTACTAATACCACTCACATGTCCCCATGTTAAAACAGGCCTAGCAATAAAATGTTTACTTGATTTAAAACAATATTTTAGCTGCCTTTTCCCGAGTGCTTACAGACATTCCGAAATGGACCCCACCATTCCAAATGTTAGTAGAATCTATTTTTCACACTTCTAAATCTGTCACTGATCCAAACAAGACGTTATCAGTAATGTTCCCTTTAACTATGTATAATGTAGCCATAGCTCTGCGTGATAAATCACTAACAGCCATTGTTCATGTGATTTAAACCCAGCTTGTTAATTCTGTTATGACAGAGTGTTGATGATATCAGGCCTGGAGACTGTGTTTATATACATTGAAGAAGTAATGTCACACTTTGTAAAGCTCCTAACATTCCCAGTGCATCTGCTGCCCACTCAATCATATACACAATTTTTTAGACACTAGAGCCTAAGGCATTTCATTTTAAGCACAATATACATGATCTTTTCTATTCTGCTCTCAACGTTTTCCTTAACTCAGTATGTTCCATAATATTTTTTGTCTTCATATAACACTGCTTAGACACTGTTGGACAATGAGAATGGTAACTGGGAGAAGGCAATAGCATTATAGTTGACAACTGGGATAGAGGACTACAGTGGTATCTGTACTTATCCATGTTTTTTTTGTTTGTTTTTTAGAAGAGGTCTCATAGCTGTGAATTTAAAAAAAAGTCAAGTAAAATGTAGGAATTTTGTTATGAGATGTCAACACAGATCCAACCAAAAGTGTGCAATAGTTATTTTTCAGTGTGTTTAATTGCATATGTCCTAATTTCAGAGAAACAACAGGAACTTGAAGCAGAAATTCACGAGCAGTATGTTGACGCAGATCATGGGCTACATATTGCCACAAGACGATCAACACAGCCTCCTTCAGAGAGACCAGGGGAGAGACGCAAGGAAGGAATGAAGAGACTATATGGCGAGGATGCAGCTAAAATTCAAGGAATGGAGACTGCAATACAGCTCAACTTTGACAGGCATTGTGATAAAAAGCAGCCCAAGTATTGGCCCATCATCCCATTAAAATTATAAACCTTTGGGGCCTATTCCGAAACACCATTATGGAAATGTTATATAAACAACTACCCAGCTGTGCCAACACGTGTCAACAAAGTTACTGGGATTTCACATTCCCAAATGTCCTGACATGTACTACATATTTCTACATGTACTGACCTCTAGCGGGTGGTTTACAACAACCATATATATTGCACATTTGGATTTAGTCATTATCATTCATGAAGTTTATTGTACTGTTTTCCCAATATAATAAAATATTTTTTGTTAAACAGTTCTTTAGCATTAGTGATAATTTGCTTTTGATGTATTATACATCTGTATAAAGACACCAGGTAATTAACCCCTTAAGGACTAAGCCAAATGTTTTGTTTTGATCAAAATAAAACGTAAACAAAACTTGGAATTTGACTATGTCTGTTCAATAGTGATGTCCCAAACGGTTCGCCACGGACTCATCATTGAGTAAACTTTGACCCTGTACCTCACAGTCAGCAGACACATTCCAGCCAATCAGCAGCAGACCCTCCCACCTCCTGGACAGCATCCATTTTACAGTCATTGTGAAGCTGCATTCTTAGTGAGCTGTCCAGGAGGTGGGAGGGTCTGCTGCTGATTGGCTGGAATGTGTCTGCTGACTGTGAGGTACAGGGTCAAAGTTTACTCAATGATGAGTCCGCGGCGAACCGTTCGAGACATCACTACTGTTCAACCATAATTCACCTTTCATATTAAGTGCACTGACACTTATTATATATCATTTTATTCAGGAGAAATAGGGCTTTTATTTAACATCAAATATTTAGCTATGAAACATAATTTAATATGAATAAAAGCAATGTGAGAAATTTAAGAAATGTTATTTATTTAGTTCTGCTTGACATTTTAACTGTGAATGTCATAAGACGGTTTACTTTTTCTGCAATAAAATACACATATTTTTATTCAGCGATGTATCGCGTGTAAAACAGTACCCCCTATGTACAGATTGTATGGTGTTTTGGGAAGTTACAGGGTTAAATATAGCATGTAACATTTTTCAGTTTTTTCACATTGAAATTCGCCAGATTGGTTACGTTGCCTTTGAGACTGTATAATAGCCAAGGAATGAGAATAACTTCCATGATGACCTACCATTTGCAATAGCAGACAACCCAAGGTATTGCAAATTGAGTATGTCCAGCATTTTTTAATAGCCACTTAGTCACAAACACTGGCCAAAGTTTACGTTAATATTTGTTTGTGTGTATTTTGACATCAATATATATTAATATCAAAATACAGTTAGAACGAAATTACACACACACATATATATATATATTATTTTTTTATTATTTTTGTGGGGGGGGGGGATTTTATGTGTGAAAAATGCAAAACAAAAATTTTAACACCAATTTTGGCCAGTGTTTTTGACTAGGTGGCTACTAAAAAAGACTGGACATACCCCATTTGAAATACCTTGGGTTGTCTACTTTTGCAAATGGTATGCCACCATGGGCTACCATACGGTCTCAAAGGCAACGTAACCAATCTGGCGAATTTCAATGTGAAAAAATTGAAACACAAGCCTTATATTTGACTCTGTAAAACCATAAAATGTATCACAACAATTATATCGTCAGTTTAAGTCCGTTTGTGTGTGAAAAATTCAAAAAAAATCACTTTCACTGATGATATCACCGTTGTAATACATTTTACTGTTTTGAAACACTAATATTTGTGTTCAGTGAAGTCTCCAGAGTAAAACAGTACCCCCTATGTACAGATTTTATGGTGTCTTGAAAAGTTACAGGGTTAAATTAAATTCTCTGGACTTTCTGCCTGGGTTGTCAGGCAAGTCCCGCAAATTGTTATTAATAAAATGTCTTAATTATGTAAAAATATTACATAAATATATACGTAGAATTAAAAAATATATATGTAAATATATATTTTTTTAATTTTTATATAGTGATATATACATATATTTCATTCTAAGTGTATTTTGATATCTATATATATTATCAAAATACAGTTAGAACAAAATTACATTAACATTTTATATATTTTATTATATATATAATTTAATATAATTTTACATGTTTTGATATATGGAAGGCGTGGCCTGAAGTTGTGGGAGGGGCTTGGTTCCCCTTCTTAAGGAGCATCAACCCTTCCCTCATTACCTGTTGGGTCTGGCGAATTGTGGGTAGAGAGATCGTCACTTCCGGTTGTTCTGGCGCCATTCTACTTACCTGTTTCACTGTGGGTAGCTTCCTGGGTCCCAACAAGTGCTGTCCCATCCTGTTCCGCCCGTCTGGCTTCATTTTCTGGCCGGGCGTTTCGCTGCGCTTTCGTTACGGCAAAATCGTAAGTTTACGGCCGTCGCAATTTCGGCGCGGCCGATTTACGTCATCCTAATTGTACAGTCGCACACGTGGAAACTCTTCGGTAAATATTTATACGAATACCGGCGTTCGGTTTTCTGCTTGTATACGCATAGCATGTTACATTTTAATTCGTATAGGGCAATTCGCTACATTCATATTATGCCCGTTCGTTTGCCGAAAGCTGCTTCACTTTTATGTTACAACTTGTTGTATGCCCTAGGGCGACCTCTGGTGGCTGGTTCATTGTCACTGATTTCTCTCTCAAAATACATTCCACGACCCCTGGTGGTTATTAAAGTTATGGCAGCTGGTACAAGTAAATGATATTTTCAGTTATGATTATAAGATATCTTATGCTGGTTAAAGTTTGTTGGGCAATTCGTTAAATATGTTTTATTAATTAAATTGAACAATGCATTTACACTCAGTCACCTTATGACTATTTTGTATGCCGAATCTCTAGTCTTGTATGTGGTATAATTATGATATGCACTAAGAAGACCTCTGGTGGTCGGTTTTCAGTACTTTTAGTTGCTTGCACAACCCTGCTCATCAGAAAGGTTATATTCACGACCTCAATCATTTGTAAGATTACAGTTTCAGTAGTCCAGTGTTGTATGCATTGTATGAGTATCAATATAAGGACATTTTGTCATGACATACTTAACGGTCTATTAATTAGAGACCTCTTGTTTTCAGTGTTCTACATTAATTCCTCTGGGTTCCGCTACCCCACCACTGTTTCACTCTACATAGGTCTGTTCCTATATTTAATTATACCTTCATGGGTCACGCCAGACCAGATTCCTCAAAGATTTTTCTATATTACTAGGTATAAGCATCCTAGCACTGCGTAGTATTCAGGTCCCAGTCACCTAAACTGTTGGAATATTATTTATAGGTATCTGATCAGCAGGGGGTCAAGGGCTACATATTTCAACCCTTACGAACTCATGTTAATCTCGTAGGTTACTACAGCTCACCTGGGTCACGTGTCCTACTTTCTGCAAAATTCACTACTAGTGAAGTACTACTGGTAGGTATCAGATTAGCTGGGGATTTAGGGGCACAATTTAGTTTTATTTTACCCATACAAACGTCAATTACTCTTGTAGATTACGACAGATCTCCTGTACACTTCTTCTCATACTATCTGGCAACTTACTCAACAGGTACGTCACGTTTCGACTACTTCTCCCTCCCTACCTACCTTTAGGGTTTATACAGATACTGGCAAGAAATAGGACCCACTAGGTATGTTTTTCTGGCCTTCTACGCCTTACGTTAGTGGTCCCGCGAGGCCAACACCCATCCTCAATTCGGAGGTACGGCATCCCCTCGGGCCCTTTCATAGCTAGCCGCCTCGCTTAGTTGCATAGAGAGGGCCTCACTTGTCACTCCCATTCTGTCTTATGCCTTTACAAGTCACAGAGAGGCCACCACCCTGCCATAATGCCAATGGCCACGTATCCCACACGCGCCAAATCATAGATAGTGCCTCTCAAGGCCGCTTGGCCACTAGTAGGGCCTCATCTGTCACGTCGCTTGATAATTCTTCGCCGCTTGGCATTTAGTGATCAATAGCCAGTTGGGTAGCCCCAGATGCCATCGACCTTTACTTGGGAAAAGGCTCATGTAATAGGAAGGAATTGCAATCCCTGCTGGGTTCATTGAATTTCGCAATGAAAATTATTCCACAGGGGAGAGCATTCATTTCCAGGTTGCTTAGCCTGTTTCCAATGTTTCCAACTGACGCATCCCGCATTTCACTAGACATACATGCAAAAGCTGACCTTCGTATGTGGAAGGAGTTTTTGCTAAACTGGAACGGGAAAAGCATTTTTATCCCGGTTTGGTCAGAAATTCGGTATCACTCTGGACAGATGCCGCAGCCACTTCTGGATTTGCCGCTATTTGGGGCAACAAATGGATGTATGGTAAATGGCCAGGAGAGATTACTGAGATCCCCAGGTTTAAGGAAACTTCAGCACTATTTGAGCTGTATCCTATCGTAGCGGCAGCAGTTAAGTGGGGAGCAGGCTGGTCTGGGAATACGGTTCGTTGCTTCTCAGACAACATGGCTACATGCCATGTTGTAAATAAGGGACGTTCCTCTTCCTTGGCCATCATGAGGTTCATGAGGACTCTCACATGGCTGGCCGCTAAACACAGTTTCCTTTTGTCTTGCTTTCATGTGCCTGGTTTTCTCAATATTGCAGCTGATCACTTATCACGGTCTCGGTTTCAGGAGTTCCGGGAAGCCCTTCCAACAGCTGCCCTAATACCAACTCCGGTACCACCAGTGGCAGGAAATGGTCTGGGACTAAAAGAGCTGCTATGTCATGGGCGGCAACTCTCACAGCTCGGTCTTTCTGCTAATACTAGGAAGGCATATGGTAGAGCTTTTGATGTATTTAATAAATTTTTGTTGGACTTTAATATTGTTGACCAGTTTTCCATGGAGACCATTATTGCTTTCATCTCCTTTTGCCACCTTCATCTAACATTGTCATACAACACCATTAAATTGTATATCACAGGTATTCAGCACCACATACTCACTTCTTGGCCTAACAAACAACGCTTTCTATCCTCCTACCAAGTAAAAGCTATACTTAAAGGTATCAAAACTCCACTCCTACACCCTCACCTGCTAGACTACCCATCCACGATCTATTATTCCAGGCACTATCAAATCTACTAGACACCTCACCATTCGAAGGTCATACCAATCGTGTTATTAAAACAGCCATCTATCTCGCATTTTACGGTTTCTGCGACCCAGAGAATTCACCACCACTAGCGTTAACTCACTCACCTTCATCACTAGATCCGATCTCATAAAGGTGCACGATCACTATCAACTATCCCTACACCACACCAAAACTAGCGCCAAAGGTCAGACAGTCATTATACCCTATTACCCCACTAGTAATATCTGGTGTCCGGTGGAAGTTTTTGACACTCTTCTGGCTTTCTGTAATATGGCTCCCACACAGCCACTCCTATCCTTGCACGGTAATGTACTCACTACGAGCAAATTCATGATGTATGTTAGGATGTTGTTGATCCGGCTAGGTTTGAACCCAGCCAGCTATTCCGGACACTCCTTCCGCATAGGAGCCGCAACGACAGCTTCAAAAAAGAATATACCAGCTCACGTTATCAAAATATTAGGCCGATGGAAATCCACAGCATATACCCGCTACATTCCCCAGCCTGTACAAGAAGTAC